ATATCAAACCTTTTGGTAGCCAAATGCCATGCCCTATGATGATAATCAGACAGTAGCATTTCCAGCAACTTCATACCTTGACAGAAAAAGGAAAAGACCATGTACCCGCCCAGAGTTGCCCTGGTCACAGCGGCAAGTAGTGGTCTCGGCGCTGCCATCGCTCGCATGCTAGCCATCGACCTAGGAATGCACGTGGTGATCAACTTCAACAGCAACGAATCACGCGCCAACGAACTAGTTCAAAAGCTCCAAGCCGAGTGCGATAGAAAGCATGCAGGGTCAAACATCAGGATACAGGCCATTCAAGCGGATACATGCGACAAGCTGCAGGTCAAATCGCTTGTCGACGAGGCAGCGTCGAGGTATTGCGGTCGTCTGGATGTTGTGATATCGAATGTTGGGTGGACAAAAATGCGTCAATTCTCAGACATCGACGATAATATTGACGAGGATGACTGGGATCGCTGCTACGTTGCCAATGTCAAGAGTCATCTTTGGCTCTTTCACGCGGCGAAACGGTATCTTGAGGAAAGCAACCAGCGAGAAGCTGGAGTGCCCGTTTTTGTGTCTACAGCTAGTTTAGCTGGAGTGATCCCCAGCGGAAGTAGCGTGGTATGTTCTTCTGATCCCAGGAAGAGTTCTCATTCACTGACTGCCACCGTGTAGCCGTACGCAGTCACAAAAGCCGCCCAGATTCACCTCGGCAAATGCCTTGCCAAGATAGCTGCGCCGTCAATCAGGGTGAACACCATCTCACCAGGCATATTACTCACGGTACGTGAAATCCTTTTAGTGATTACAGAGCCCAATCTCATTTTTACATAGGAATGGGGTCTTTCGTTTCCAGCAGAGCGACTTGAAGCCGCTCGCAACACGAATAAGTTGGGTCGTTTTGCCACGGTTGAAGACGTCGCAGAGCAAGTCAAAGCTTTTGTAGTGTCGAAGTCAGTGACTGGACAGAATGGGGTTATCGATGCCGGTTTCGGTCTGTGATAGAACATGCAATTGCTTCTAGGGGTAGACATAGCTGTAAAGCCGTGAAGAGATACTGGTAATCGTTTTATTTATCAAGCGTATAAAGCGGTATTCTATTTCTTACACAGTCACTTTTATGATATATATAATTCTTATTAGTTTTCTTCTATTATCTAAATATTTACTCAAGATATACTGGTGTTTTTATTATTATTTTATTAGTCTCAGGTCTTGCTTGTCGTTTAGCATACAACCGCGCTGATTTTACTCGTCTCCCCAGCGCTGGTTAAAAAAAAAGTATAGGGTAGGGCCCCCCTCCCATGGCGCAGGTCGATTGGTACTCAGACACTTTCTTGCTCGCCGGGGTCTGGTCCAACCAAATTTCCTCGCCCGCGTTTCCGAGTCCCACCCCCGCAAAGCCGATCCAACAGTGTGGCTACTCTTTACGGAGGAGACCGGGGAGCAGACCGGAGCGCAAGCCAGTGGGACAGGAGAAAATTCCAGTAATGCTCAATATCATGGATATAAGTGCTGAGCTGACTTGATGAGAAGAAAGAAAGAATACTCATAAAATTATCCTTTTACATCAACAGCATCAGCAACACGAAGTTAGACTTTCTCCATCATGGCTCGAACACATCTCAAGCGCCCCTCGTCCGCCAACTCAACAAGTAAAGCCACCAATGGCTCACTGCCTGATGTCCCCAGGATAGTCAAGGATGTAATCGATAGCGTCCGGCGAGAAGGCGATGTCGCTGTACAGCGTTACAGCGAGCAATTTGACAAATGGTCTCCTCCAAGCTTCAAGCTTTCCAAGGAGGACATCGACCAAGTCATGGCCCGAGTCCCGGAGCAGGTCATCAATGATATCAAGACTGTTCAGTCCAACGTCCGCAAGTTTGCAGAGGCCCAGTTGAACTCAATCAAAGAGTTTGAGATCGAGATGGCTCCTGGTGTATTTCTTGGTCAAAAGAACAATCCAATTGACTCAGTTGGAGCGTCAGTACCCGATATCTCAGGATGACAATTTATGATGTACTGACAGCTGTCTAGATACATCCCAGGAGGCCGGTACCCCCTATTAGCCTCCGCGCACATGACCATCTTGACAGCCAAAGTTGCAGGCGTCAGAAATGTAGTAGCCTGTACGCCCCCTGCAGCCGGTGAAATTCCCCTGGCCACAGTCGCTGCCATGCATCTCGCAGGCGCAGATGAGATCTTCATCCTCGGTGGTATTCAAGCCGTTGCAGCAATGGCGATCGGCACGGAAACTGTGCCCAAGGTTGATTTCATCGCAGGTCCAGGGAATGCCTTTGTTGCCGAGGCGAAAAGGCAGTTGTTTGGTCAGATTGGAATCGACCTCTTCGCCGGGCCGACGGAAGTTTTGATCGTAGCGGATGAAACAGCAGATCCTTACATGATCGCGACTGATCTTCTTTCTCAGGCTGAGCATGGGCCGGATACACCTGCTGTCTTGATCTGCACCTCTGCTGAAGTGGCAAAGAGTGCCATAAAGTACTGCGATGATCAACTGACTACGCTGAAGACAGCAGCGGTAGCTAGTGTCTCTTGGCGTGACTACGGAGAGGTTATCCTCGCTGATACGGTTGATGAAGCCTATCAGATTGCCGACGAGTTTGCTTCTGAGCATGTACAAATTCTCACTGCGAACCCCAGAGAGGCGCTTACCAAGATGCAACACTACGGAGCCTTGTTTCTGGGCCCAATGACCTGCGTTTCTTTTGGTGACAAGGTAAGAAGTCATGAATCTCAATGAACATTACCCGATGCTAACATTGTTGTGCACAGTGTATCGGCACGAATCACGTTCTGCCTACAAAGCACGCGGCGAGGTACACTGGCGGTTTGTGGGTAGGAAAGTTCCTCCGCACAGTGACTTATCAGGAAGTCAAGTCTGCTCAGGCAAGTGGTGGACTTGGTCAGCTCTGTGGAAGGGCTGCGCGGGTAGAACTCTTTGAGGGCCACGCGAGATCTGGAGACATTCGGGCACATCGATATATCGGGGACAAGTTTGAGTGGATAAAGCAGTAGTTAGACCCTTAAACTAGAATCATGTACTACCCCTGGCTTTCTGAAATTTGTCTTGTGGCATCGTGCACTGTAGCTATATTTGCGTGGTATTGTAACCAGAGAAGGTTTTGTTCCTCGGGACCACTCTACGCCCTCCACATCCGAGGTTAACTTTAAGCTTTTTTAGAGGACTTTGTCACGGTACACGCAGTGCTTAAAAGTCGGCCATCGAATCTCATGCAAGTCTCACAACTGAACTCACTGTTATCATCCTTTTTCAGTCTACGCTAAGCACACCGCGCCTAATTACTCATACAGCCAATATGGATAGCAAAGCACCTGCAGACAACGCAAGAAAGGACCTCAGGCCGATCAAGCGATTTGTCACCACCCATACACCCGAGGGAACCACTACCTTCTCGAACGCCTTATCTGAGGACGCTCCCTTTCAAACCCTCCCAGACAATGTCGATTTTGCTCTCTGCTATGCAACCGACCAATTCCCGGTCAACCTCAATGATGAAACAGATATTGATACCTATCGGCACTACACTGAAAACCTTCCTGGAATCACTCTACCCACGGGAACAGTCCTTCGCGTCGTGGATATACCTCCTGGCGCGATATCGCCTATGCATCGCACCATCAGCTTGGATTATGGAGTCGTCTTGGAAGGGGAGATCGACTTGATCCTTGACTCTGGTGAGAAGCGAGTCATGAAAAGAGGTGATATCTCAGTCCAGCGGGGGACCAATCATGCTTGGAAGAATAGAAGTGAGGAATCATGGGCACGAATGCTGTATGTTTTGCAGCCGGCTACAAGCCTGAGAGTTGCCGGTCAGGAACTTCACGATAACTCGATGCATACTATTCCTGGGTATGAGGAAGAGGGGGGCAAGAACTAGCGGGTCTACATGAGACCCAAGCGTATGAGCTTTTATGTTAGATTCAACATTGTTGCGTAGACGCATCTCAAATCATACATTGGTTTGCTATCATCTTAAATTGTACCAGAAAAGCCAGTGCAACTTCAACTCCAAGTGACTGATGTCGGTAAAGGTGATCGAGGATTACCGACGTGAGAATCTGCCACAGCCGTGCTCTTCTGTAGGTGAGGCTGGTGGACTTGAGCAGCGCCGATGCGGAGGCGACGTGGCGTTCCCAACGCACTCAATGCCCCCCACATCGGCTTCCCCTACACGTCAATTTCGGCTCGGCCCAGTTTGTCCAAAAGCTGCTCAAGGTTCTCGACCAAAGGCGGCACAGCCTCAACATGAGAAAAATTAGCACTCAAAATGCCGAGAACGTAGTTCACAACCGCCTCCCGGTCCATCAGCCGAATGGGAGAATTGCCATGTTGAAGTGCACTTGGTTGTATGACTGCTACCGAAGGCACCCCTCGGCTGATGAACCTCTGCACGAGTGGAGTTTCCGGCCCGTTCAAACAAACCGTCTCGTCATCGCTAAGAACGGAGTCATTCTTATTTGTTCCCTTAACCTGCGACACCACCGCATAGGCCCAAAGGGTAAGATTCGCTTGATATAGTGCAATAGTGTAAAAGCCCCGAAGACGACCGGGCTCGAACATCTCTGCTGCTCTTATAATCTGGCCCGCGTACCAAATCGCTTTCCGTGACTCAGGGCTGTTGGTCCAGTCTAAGAGCACTGACAGAGCGTTCCGGGCATCACTTTGGTGTCCCTTGCCCGCAAACAGCTCAACCTCCTCAAAAGGGATGTATAAGTGCATATACACAAGATGGTACATCATGGTTACCGGACCATCATGCCAGCTCGCCTCATCCCCCATCATGTTGACGCGAAAGCGATGCAATATCTGGAGGATTTCTTGCTGGCGAAGAGTCAATGCTGGGTCCGAGTGTCTTGGCTTGTCTAGCACGGCAATACTTTGTAGACATTGCCAAACCATTCCCCAGATGCCCGAAATGACGACAAGTTGACAGAATGAACCATCGTAGCTGCTATCGATTTCTGCGGCGTTGCGGAAGTAGTCATATAGTGTAAGTCTCGTCGGTTGGCGCTGCTGCTTTAGGTATATAGCTTTCCATGCTTCTGCATCCTTGGCAAGCCAGAGATCATTAGACTCGGGCAAAGGCGTCTTGAGCTCCGAGAAGGATATTAGGGGACATGTCGACATGGCAATACTGACTTGAGTATCCATGATGAAGCAATGATAAGTGAGTCTATTGTAATTCTCTTGCTCCACCCAGGTGAGCCACTTATTCTGTAAGGTCTCGCCTGCGTCTTCTGGCAATGGGGGATCAGCGGGAGTGTAGGTCTTGCTGAACCTTCTACCACGTCGTAGCATCTGTGATCGAATTAGCACACTCGATGATAAAATGATCCTGAGACACGTTGATCGGAAAGGACTGCATACTGTGAAGGGCATTTGGCGGTGGCTTTCTGCAATCTCCATCTTCCTCTTGATACCACTCCACAGCCCCAACTCAATATCCAGAATAAACGCTTGAAGAGCCCAAAGAGCTCTAGTCATAGAATTCGCTCTTTCAAACATCACAGGCAACGCCAAACGAGCTACCTCATGGAGAGCAAAACCGAGGGAATGCAAGATCTTAGAGTCAGCAAACATTGTACCCATGTTGACGATGGTGAGAATAAGCTCTGCGCCCTGTTGGTTTGGCTCGAACGAAGGGCCATGTATCCAAGAGTCAGCCTGGACACGGTGGTGAGAGAAGAAGCTCTCGATGAGCTTAGATAGAATCTCAGAGTGAGGGAATGCTCTAATGATAGCGAGTTTGCTTTCTGGCTTGCAAGCGTTCAAGGTTAATAGCAGCATTTGGTCTCTCAGACCAACTGAGAGTGGTTTGAACAGCTGACTGCTTACTTCCAAGCTGTGAAGCTGGATGGCGTCCTGAGGGCTGTCGCCGAGGACTGATAGAGCCTTTATGTTGGAGTTTAGGTGGTCATTTTGTGAAGGCTCCCACATTCCAAGTGCCGATTCCTTATATGCCACATGGCCTAGCACAGCTGGACGTACTGGGTTTGGCGGTTGGATATCAGGATTGATGGGCAAGGATGCTTTTGGTTCCAGCAGGATTCCGTTGTAGTAAAAGGATGGGCTGCAGGGCAAGTCCCAAAGATCCATGGCGACATCGTCGAATCGGGTATCACCATCGACCCGGAAGTCCAGAAGACCGTGAGGCGGAAGCGGATTGTAAAGATGATTGATGCTGGTTAGATCGGCTTGATCGATTGGGCGGCTCTCCTGTCCTTCCACGGGTGTCATGACGCCTTTGAGGAATTTGGAGAAGTCATCTTCTGACAGGGTAAGATGACTCGGTTCCAAGACAGGTATCGATAGTTCTTGATCTTCTTAGATTAGCAACCAGCTTGCAACCCGAGAATCCTACGGCCTTCTCACCTATTGTAGACTGAATGCTTGTTTCCGGCGACGTTTTGTCTCCTGTTTCCGTGAATCGAGTATCTCGCTCACAAGGAATTCCCTTTGCCACACAACGTCTGCAGGAAGCATCTTCGTCACACTTAAGCTTGGAACCCGCACAAGCTTTACACGCCTGAGAAACACGTGGCGCAGCATTGGACATGCGCTTGCATCGCTTCACGCCAGATTCTGCGCCATTATGTGCAAGCACATGACGTTTGAGAATGTCTCTAATCAAATAATGAGTAAATGCCGACTTGTTAGTGGGATCAATTGTTACATACTGGCGCCCAAAGGCTTTGTCGCAAACATGACAGCGAAAAGGTTTATCTTGCGCATCTAGAGTGGGGGTGAGTAAACAGGAAGACGAGAATGTTGCACTGCTGCCACTGACGAGATCGGATATGACGGGTCAAGTGGTCCACGCGCCCGAAGGAGCGTTGACAGTAGGAGCATTGGAAGGGGTTTGTTTGGGGAGACGACAGACGTCTCTTTGCCGTGGACGGAGCGCTCATATCGTTCGGGACTTCCAGAGCAGGAGTGACAAGAGGATCATTGTCACAGAGGATGGTCGTGATGGATGTTGATGGCCTGGCTGGAACTGGTCTATGAGGCATGACCTGCGCCAAAACGCTAGACTAGGGTGAACTGAGGCTAGTGCTGTGGATTTTGAGTTGATCGGGATGTGGGCGACGCGGGGAAAAGACGCTAACTTAAGTTAGTGCACAGATCGTCTTTTCTGAGGGCCTAGGGTAGGCACAACATTGGTCGTCTCCTCGAGATGCATAAAGATGCGACGAAGCTAGACCTGCCAGAGAGCTGGCAAAGAACAAGTATCGGTTGTCTTTAATTTCTACAGTAACTGCACTTCATTCTCGCTCGGGGAATATAAAAGTAATGGTGAAATCACTCTATTGTAGGCTGCTGTATCCGTAGGTGACGTTAAGCCAGACCTGGTGAGACGCTAATCCCCAGAGAAAAGGAGCTCATCCATGTAATTAATGCTTAAGAACTTGTTGTTTCTGGAAGTGCAGCTGAATAGATAGTACTACTGATTATTATACTTCATCATACCAGGCTCATATGACATTTCTAGTCTGCCCAACAGGTATCTACTCGCCCACTTCACGATCCACATTCCAGTGAACAAACTTCTCAATGTAGCCCCAGTTCCACGTAGCGTGGCGGATCCTTCGGCCCCAAATATAGATAGGTACCCAGCACAAAATAACCGCTCCCGAGATTCCAGCCATGGCACCAAATGCATTAGCATATCCGCTGATATCAATCCAAGGATTAGTGTAGAAAGAGAGGAGAAATCCGAAAGCAGCTACATCGCGTCAGCTTCATGGACCAGGTCAGGATACAGTAGAGTAGACTTACACTTGAACGCTAGTTGCGTGACTGCCAACTCTCCTGCAACGGGACGGTAGCTGTCGATTGTGTAGACCAAGCTGACGTTGGTAGCTTGAACGATTGCCATGTTCACTTTCGACTCCAGTTAGCTTTTAGAACTCCGTGAGAGAGTTTAGCGTAGACTTACAAAGACCTAGACCAATGGTGGGGACAATCCAGTGCCAGCTACGATCGATGCCTACGCCATACAGGACCAGAGACAGCGGCGCGATGACAAGCGAGATGAGAATAGCAGGCAGTCGCATCTCCGGCTCTCGAATGCCACCATTCTTCCGAGTCAGTCGATCCGCCACCTTGTCACTAAAGTAACCTCCAAAGAATGTCCCAGCACCGGCGCCGATGGGACACGAAATGAAGCATAAGCCAGCCTGCCACGGCTTGAAGCCATACGTGGCAGAAAAAGCTACAGCAAAGTTGGAGCTGATGGCAACGAGGAAGCCGATGGTCACCGACATGACGAGGGTAGCCCAAAGCACTAGTGGAAGGGTGAGGAGAACGACAGGCCGGAACAATAGCTTGAGTATGGACTCCTTGGTGTGTGTGCCGCTGTACAGGGACAGATTTTGAACGAATGTGCGCTTTGGGGGTGGAGAATAAGATACATGTCCGGATGTTGAAGCTTCTTCAAACTGTACCTTTTCAAGATCCTGATCATGGTCCTTGCAATTGGAATCAATATGCGTGTGTGTTCCTTCTGTAGTTTCTTGGCGGTTGTAGACGGTCTCAGGGAACGTCAAGATGATCAGAATGGTACACACTCCAATCAAAGCGACCGATACCCAGTAAATATACCGCCAGCTCAGATTGATGGTGATGAGTCCAGCAACAATAATTCCAACACCTACACCAGCGGACAGCGCAGTGGTGTATATCCTATTCATGTGGTTAGCGGAGGTAAATTGGGCATTCAAACGGTCACTCACGCCATAGCGGCACCTCTCTCGTGCAAGAAGAACAGGTCCGAGATAGTCAGCGGAGCCAAGCATTCAGCGACGCCTGACGCAAAACCCATGAGGATGCGCGCAGCCAAAGCACTCCCGTAAGTAGTCGCACCACCAGCCCAAGCAGCGACAGCTGTGTACATTATAAAGGACAGGACATATGTAGGCCGACGGCCGTACTTGGCAACAAAGGGCATCCATATCAGATTTCCCATGCCCTGGAGAAGAGCAGTAGTGGTGAAGAAGTAGGCAATCTTGGAGACTTTGGCGCTGAAATCGGGACCGGGTGGACCAAAGTAGGACTCGGTGATGCTGACGATGGCGACGGAAGGGCCGGCTGCTAAGAAGTTGCTGAAGAAAATGGCGCAGGAGACGAGGACGGCGATGTAGAAACGGTATGGCTTGGACCTGTGCCATGCTTAGCATGCTTCAACAAAAGTGAGGAGATATGCGAGGTGAGGTAGCTTACCAGTTGAGCGGATCATTGGGATCGTTGGTTGGGGTTGGTATGAGGATTATCTCGTTGGTCTCTTCATTGCGCAGTCGCAGACCTCCCAGCATGTCATTACGGACATCAGGCGTGCCTGTGTCGGTCTTGGAAATATTGGGAGACATGGTGTTGATGTGCAAGGGAGCCAGATGACAGATGTTTGATGAACAGCAAGTGCTGACGAATCGCAAGTCTCAGGCAAAAGAGAAAGAATCGACTGGCGAATGCCCTTAAAAAGCGCAGGGACTGAAAGAGGGCATAACGGAATGTATTTAACTTCAGTTATGGCCTGCACAACCCAATAGACACTCACGTCGGTGAGCCTGCACTGAATGTGTCGATGGTTGGAAAGGGGGACAAAAATCTGCTAGCGACGCGCTCTAACGCGGATGAGGGGCGGCTCCACCCAACGCTAGCGTGTCTTCCCCACGGGGTTTTACGCACTGAGATAGATAATGTAGATAGCAAGACTTTCTTTCCGATGCTCCCCCAGAAAACCCCACAAAGTGCAAGGGTACGCGATTGTGTTGGGTTGCAGAATCTCCTTGTGTTTGTCGTCTAAACCGGCTAGAGGGCGGGATAGTGACAGCCCCCTGCCAGGTTAACTAGAAGTGGTTTGGCGGCGACCACAAACCGATCCGATGTGGTCTTGACCCCTCAATCGTCTTCGGCCCCTCCTGTAGTTGTCGACATGGGAAACAGTACATGCAAGTCGTATATCGGGACCATCATTATGGTTCTGCCCGAGAGTACCGAGGTTGAGTCGAGAGGACCCAGCTGCATTATGGGTTGCAGGACATTTAGATAAGACGCAAGCAACGCTCTGTAAGCTTACTACACAATTGAGAATCAGCCAAAAGCTGATGAAAGAATTTGACTCCCAAGCAATCCATAACTGCCTCTACTCATCTGTTCCTAGATTCCCGGCCATTGCGAGAACAGACTAGGACACAATGGCATCCAACGGCGTCTCTCATGCAGTCACTAATGGCCACTCTGCCGCTGCCAAGTCCGATGGACTCAACATCGTCATCATCGGGGCTGGTATAGGTGGTCTCACCGCTGCCATCTTCCTCCGGAGGCAAGGCCATCGAGTCACACTGTTGGAACAGTCTCGCTTTGCCAATGAGGTCGGAGCGGCAATGCACTTGGCACCCAACGCCAATGGAATCCTCCGCCGACTTGGCATCTTTGCAGAGAACATAGGTGCCAATGTCTTTGAACGGGTATGTAGCTCCAAACTTGTTGCGCATCCAGATATTGGAGCCCAAAGGCTCACGATATGACTGCAGATTACAGAATTCAATGCGGCCAATGAAGTTGTCCGTGATGCCGAGCTCGCCGAAGCACACAAGATCTGGCAGCATCCGTGGCACCTGGTCCATCGCGTACGGTTGCATCAAGAGCTCAAACGACTTGCGACATCACCTGAAGGACCTGGCATACCCGCCGTGCTCCGAACATCCAGCCGCGTGGTAGATGTTGAAACAGAAACAGCTACAGTCTTTCTGCAGGACGGTAGTCAAGTCCAGGGCGACTTGGTCGTTGGTGCCGATGGAGTTCATGTAAGTAACGGGGCTTCCAGCCTTCTACGTTGCTGGAACTTCTACTCACTAATATTCCTGATAGTCTCGTTCCCGACACAAAGTTGTTGGGAAAGACTGGAACGCGTACAGTTCAGGCAAGAGTGCATTTAGATTCCTCGTCCCCCGCCAATCTGCTCTCGGCGACCCAGAAACCGCCCATTTCGCACAGCACAACGGCCAGCTCATCATATGGTATGCCGCCGACAGACGTATCGTGATGTATCCATGCGATGATAACAAAACGTTCAACTTTGTCTGCATTCATCCACGAGAAGAGAGCGACCCTGGAAGTAAAGAAGGTATATTCTGGCTGGAGTCTTGACCTGGAACAAATCGTTGACAAATACTGGCTAGATTGGAACAACGAGACCAGCATGTCGGTGTTATTGAGTGCTTATAAGGATTTCGATCCCGCCCTGTTGAAGCTCCTGAGCAAAGCGAGCCCAGATTCCCTCAAGGCATGGGAGCTGCTAGACATGGATGTTCTCCCAACATGGACTGACAAGAGACTCACTCTTCTTGGCGATGCTGCTCATCCCTTTCTCCCTCGTGAGTATATACCTATCACCAATACACATGATACATCAAAAAGTATTAACCCAGTTCTTCAGACCAGGGCCAGGGTGCAGGCGTTGCCATCGAAGACGCTGCCTCACTCGCAGTTGTTCTACCACTCGGTACCTCCCCAGAAGAGGTTCCTGAGCGACTGCGTCTTTACCAAGACTTTCGCTATGACCGGGCGAATCGGATCCAGGAGTTCTCACGCCAGGCAGGAAAGGATAAGCCGGATAAGGACTTTGACAGTCAGTAACCCTTCAACACGCACCCTTGCGTATCATAACTAACTAGTCTATCTAATTAGTGATGGCGTATACCGACTTCAACTTGGGCCACGATGAATGGGACAATTCTACCAACCGATTCAGGAAATGGGACTGGGCTCGGAAACCTCATCTCTACTGGAGAATGCCCGTCTCGTTTGGGCCCTTCCCCGGTCCACGACAGACCTTCACAGGCGAGGCTAGGAATGCCACGAACTCGACATTCACAACAGCCTCGATTAAGTTCAAGACCTCACGAACTCTCTTGCAGAATCTCTTCCCTTCTACTTCTTTCCGATTCAAGAGTCCCGGAACTGTCGCATATGCTAGCTTCTCCCAGACCACGCTCAATAAGATGGAGTGGCTAGGCGGTTCTGGGTACAGGCACATCGGGCTGTACATCCACGGCGTCCAATATGTACAGAAAGACGGCACCGTTCGTGATGGTACATTCCTCCCTATCTTGTGGGAAAGCCTGACAGACCCGATTGTCAGTGGCCGCGAAGAGCTCGGCATGCCGAAGCTGTATTGCTCCGTCGACGTTTGGAGGCGAACAAACAGTTACAGAATCCAGACAGGCTGGCAAGGCGTCAACTTTGGCTCATTCACACTTGAGGGTCTCCGCGAGGTGGATAGTGGCAGCTCTAAGGGTACGATCGGAGGGGAGGATGACGAGGGTATCTTTGCGTACAAGTACATCCCCAAGGTGGGAGATCGCGGCAAAGCAGACGTGGAGCATGCGACCTTTGTGCCCCACGCAGAAGAGGCCAAGGTCGTTCCTAGTAAGGTACTGAAGGTTTTTGCTGCTGAGAAAGCAAGCTTTGAGTTTGATCCTCATGACTGGGAGGCTTTGCCGACACTCCATCACGTCGTCTCGAGGTTGGCAGAAGTGCCTGTTTATGAGATTCTGGGTGGAAAGGTTGTTGAGGGCGTTGGCGTCCCAGATGTGTCGAGTGCTCGAAGAATAGACTAAGTAGCTTTGAGTTTAGAAATGTTATAGTTTAGTGGTGTCGAAGGAATGAAGTAAACTGCAGTTCTCACCATCGCTGATTGGGATATAGCCTATGGCTTCGAGTCCGACGTGTTATTTTCAGCTGATAGATTTGGAAACTGATTTTACATTACGCGCCTCACACGCAATCACCCTAAAGTATCCAAATGCTCTATGAAGTACTCGAATGGATCCGTTTTATGTGCACAGTCTTTGTCTGACATAGATGGTTCATCTCTCACTACCACCGGGATTTATGATTGCAATCTTAAGACAATACGTAGTTGTAACTAATCGATATGAAGTCCTCCGTTCACATGCAAATGTACACCATTGACCCAGCTTGCACGCTCGTCACATAAAAACCCCACAGCAAACGCAATCTCTTCTGGTGTACCCATCCGCTTTCCTACAGGCGTAGCATCGATCGTAGGCTGCAAGATCTGCATGGCTTCCTCACCAGCAGCCAGAAAGCCCTCGGTCTTGGTCGGACCTGGAGACACCGCATTCACCGTGCATCCATACTTGGGAGGAAGTTCCTTCGCCCAGCATTTGGTGAATGAATCCACCATACCCTTGGTACCAGCATAGATGGTCTGAAGTGGAGGAGAACCTCGTGAGCTGGCCGAACAGATGTTGACTATCCGTCCATTTCCTCGCGTCAGGTGCGGAAGGCTACACTGGGTCAGAAGAAAGGTGCTGCGCCCATTGACATTGACCAACAGATCCCAGTCATCCAAGGTCTGCTCCTCCAAGGGTTTATTGACTGCCAGCGCCACGTTGTTGACAACTATGTCTAAGCGGCCAAACTCTTGAACGGTTGCCTCGACCAGCGTCTTGGGGCCTTGAGTTGTGCCCATGTCTGCGCAGACAGCAATGGATCTGGTTGGCAGAGACGCTGCCTTGTCGTTGGCACTGTCTGCTAGTGAAGGGAATGGGTAATTGATGGCGACAGATGCTCCACGAGATGCAAGCTCATGAGCAATGGCAAAGCCTATGCCGCTGTCGCTGCCTGAGACAATGGCTACTTTGCCAGCGAGGGGCTTTTGTGTTGACATGGCTGAGATGGTTGTCCTGGCTTGTGTGAATTTGAAGCGATGAGTTCAACAGTTGGGTTTGGCAAGACTTTGGATTTTAGTGATGACGGATTCGCTCAGCAGCTTAGTCCCCTAAAGATTGAGTTTGCGGTCAGTACCTAACTACAGGTGCCCCCACTACTTTTTCGAGCACTCCGATCGGGTGAGGGGGAGCTCCGGTGAAGCTAAGACAGATCTCACCTCCTCTCGGTATGTGGCCCACTGTGATCGAGAGCATGTCCTGTCCTCAGGGAGCAAGAAAACACGAGACCTAAGTTTAGGGGGGCAAAATAAACTCCACAAAAGGTATCCTAAATTTGTACTAAGTTACCTAAATCTTTTTATCAGTTAGGCTCAAGGCCCCGAGTTTTATTTCCTCCCCTAGCCTGTTCCCCCGCACCCAGCCGATCATCTAATTCTACAGATGGAGCGGTCTCGGCTTTGCAAGCGATTGAATCTTACCCACCAGTTACGTTTTGATCGTATAAGGCGCGCGAGAAAGTCGCATATCCGTACAGTAGATCCCATCCATACAAAGAAGACTACCATACCTGCCAAACTCAATATACCCTACCAGCAACCATGACACAAATTGATGCTCTTGCCCAGGCAAAGTCTCAACTGCCTCCTTCATTTCCCATCATATGGCGAGGCGATGTGAGTTGGGAAAGGGCCAGGGTAGGCCGCGTCTTCAACCACCGCCGCCCATCCAGTCAGCCTCTTGCCGTCGTCGAGGCCACTAGGGAGGATCACATCGTGGAGGCTGTCAGGCTTGCACGCAACCTGGGCGCTCGTGTCTCAGTGCGGTCTGGTGGTCATAGCTGGGCAGCATGGAGTGTGCGTGAGGGTGCCATTCTTATTGACCTGGGCAAGTACCACGAATTCCTTCTAGACGACAGTACCGGAGTGTTACAAGCTTCGCCCAGCATGACTGGGAGGATGGTCAACAAGCTCCTGGGCTTGCGTGGCCGTATGTTCCCCGGTGGCCATTGCCCAGAGGTTGCTCTTGGTGGCTTTCTTCTGCAAGGAGGTATGGGATGGAATTGCAAGGTAATATGACTGAGGGAAGTACAAGAGTATCATGACTGACAATGTAATTTAAGAATTGGGGCTTCGCCTGCGAAAGGCTGGTGGCTCTCGACGTGGTGACGGCCGATGGGGAGAAGCGACACTGTGATAAAACAACCAACGCAGAACTATACTGGGCGGCACGAGGATCAGGTCCAGGTAAGCCTTTCGCTCACTGAGATAGATCGACATTTTTCTGATGCTTTTCTTCTCGCGTTATAGGATTCCCAGCTATTGTTACAAGATTCTACCTCCAAACAATTCCTTCATTCAGTCACATGCGGACATCGGTCTACATATACGAGAAGAAAGACTATGAAGCGGCCTTCTCCTGGGTTATAGATGTTCGTTCCAAGTTTTCCCTCCCGTCTGGTCATCAGTCCACTAACGTAATCCATAGCTTGCTCCTACTTTCGACGAAGGCACTGAGATTGTTGCAATTGGAAGACATATACCAGGCCGACAAGGAGAGCATATACTGATCTCACTTGTCACGTTTAAAAATAGTGACGAAGAGGCTCGGTCCGCACTGCAGCCAGCTCAAGACTCAGCACCACCGGGACACGTTGTTTCGTGGTTTTGCGAGCCAACCTCCATGGCAGAGCAGTACGATGATCAGCACTCTGCCAACCCTGAGGGTCACCGATATGCAGTCGACAACTCTTATATCCGAAATGACGCCGACGTTGTTTCTGTCCTAAAGGAGTCCTTCACATCACTCCCAACAGAGAAGTCTTTTACCCTTTGGTACGCCATGGCCCCCGGCTCACGACGCAGTGCCGAGGATGGCACGCTCGAAGATATGGCGCTCTCGATGCAGACAGATCATTACTTTGCTGCCTATGTCGTTTGGGAAGACCAGGCAGACGACCCCAAATGTCAATCCTGGCTTACCCATATCTTTGATAAGATCAACCGGGACTCGGAAGGATCTTATCTTGGAGATGCTGATTTTCAGAAGCGCTCCACCGCGTTCTGGGGACGGGATCAAGGTAAGAGACTCATGAACATCCGGAGGAAGTGGGACCCTCAGGGTGTCGTAGCTGGCTATCTCAACAAGGGAGACCAAAATGGGGTTGAAGGTTTGGAAAATGTACACAAGTTGTAAGCCGGTCAAGGCGGCGAACAACGAAAGCACTACCCTAAATTAGTTGTTAATATTATCTTATTATCCTTGTATAGAAAGAATCTGAAATCTCTTTTATACTTGAGACAAATGGTTCCTCAGCTCTTACTGTTAAGCAATTCATTCCCTTATAAACTCTTCTAAGTTAGTAAACTGAATGCGTAGTAGGGTTAGGTTCCAATTATAGAACGGGTTCAGTAAGTGACGTTGAGCTCGGCTGCCTGGCGAGGTAATTGCGTAAATAAGGAACCAGTCTGAGTACATTGGAAGCCTTAATTTTAAAACTGATTTGTAATCCTGAGGCTAATGTGTGACCCCAAACCCAGTCTCCAACCCATTGCGGAAGGAAGGACTAGTTAAAATCCTAAGACTGGTCTGCAACCCCGAGACTTAGTCACGAGGACTTCTATCTGACTTCTGTCCCAGCCACCCACCTCTGTCCTTCATTTCACCTCAATCGATTGCTCGGGAATGCTCCAATATCTGAACCAGTAAAATAGAAGGACAAAGGCCAGCTAAGACAAGCAAGTTGTGCATTCCCCTACCGCGACCACAAAATCAAGTGCAATGCTCCTCTTCAGGGATTACCTTACAGTAACTATGTTTGTAAGTCGTGGGCAGACAGGTGTATTCTCCCAACAAGAAAGCGCCGAGAAATGTTGGCCAGCCTAGTGATCCGCTTAGAGATGCTCGCAGATTTATTATAGGAACACAAGGCAAAAGAATAGCAATGCGATCCGGCCTTCTCCGCCAAGTATCCAGCCAACTTTACCAGAGAGTAACGAGGTAAGCAATACCAACGTTGAGGCGCAATCGTGATACTGCCGTCCTCCTGTCCTACTAAAATCTCGCTGAACAGTATCTGATCAGCGATCAACGTCTCATGTTACTGTACCTGGTGATAGCTCTCCTGAATCGACAACTACCGCACAGCCTTGGGTATTGGTGCCGAGCATGGACTTGAGGGAATTAAATCGTACTGCAATGTCAAGTCAGTTTACATTAACGCGGCTTGATGGAGGGACTCCAGGGTTTAGGAGATTGTCATCTAGAACCTATCGCGTATGCCATAAGCTAGTATATTACACCAGTAAAAATATTAAACCTACAGCCAAATCCTCAATCCAGTACACGCTATCCTTGGTTCTCAGCCTGGCCTCACACCCTCCCAAGCTACGGCCCCTTGAAGGTACATAGAAGAGGCGGCTTGGCTGAAGGACAAAGGCCTATGGAAAACACTTTTTTATTTGAGAGTAACGTCTTGAGTTAGCAGCTGTCCTCTTGAATTTATATCGGAATGGTGACATACTCTTACTATCGCCATATGCTCAAACGCCCTAGGATATTTTAAGACATGTTGTTTCCCCTCTCAGTATAGGGCAAAAATGAACAATCCATGTTCAGCTGGCTATGACTCTTATAGCGGAAGTCTTTAGACTAATAATGAGAGACTATTTAATTTACTACTCTTTAGTTCAATAGTGTCTCCGTCATTTTAGTATACAAGCGCTAAGCTGTCTAATCCAAACAGCCCAAAAATTATCAACCCATTCATCGACAGTTAGTATGGATTCTTGTCCAATTGGAATCAGCGAAACATCCCCGCAATGCATATTCAGCCAGCCATATAATGTAGATATTTACACGCTTTTACAGGTTGGCTTAACAAGTCGCCTTTCCAGTTTTAGTGCCGACTTGTTAATGCAGTATTCAGCGAGCCTGATGCGAACAGAGGCTGGCTGAACATGGACGACTCCGCTCTGGAAGTGGATGACTGTGATAAGTCGTGTCAGCTGTGGCGATAGAGATTTTACTTGAGGAGGAGATGGCTTATTGGAACTGGTCCTGTACCAGGTATAAGTTCCATACCTGTCCTGATTCACGAATAAAAGCAAGCAACCAAACCAGACTTAAGTGAACCTCAACCGCATCTTACCTACTACAAAAACACTCCTGAATAAATGTCATTCGAAAAAGCACTAGATGTAAGTTGCTACAGATCAGACTTTTGGCCACATCTTCTTATTATTTATCAGGTCGTCGTGCGGCGACAGAGCTCTCGTCAGCTCGACCCCGATATAGCCGACAGGGTGATTGACGAGATGATGAGCTCGGCGATTCTCTCAGTCAGCTGCGAAGATCAGATTCTCACCGCACCGGTGGCTCTCAGCTGCATAGGTGCTTGCTTGGTCGCAAGCTCCTCCGAGAAGGCTGAGACCAGCAAAGTCCCTATTAGCTGGGGCTACTGTCCAACGGCCAGAGAGTCTCAGTATAAACCTCAACGAGTGTGCTAATTTAGGTCTCAATGCCTTCCTCGAGGCAGAGGTCTTTTGAAGATAAGACAGCTCTCTGTCATGGCTCAAAACAGGGTAAGAGCCCCGGTTTCACAGGTTAAATGTAATGTGTATTGCGTGGTCAGCTAACATCAATACAAGTTTTCGGAAGTCATTTATTGCCTTGCAGAGCCGGCCATGGCTTATAAATATTTCAGGGCGTATATGAGCGATATCAAGGAATATGTAGATGAATGTTACAGCACGTCCAAGGAGATTGATGACGATTTCGCCGTTTGGCTCAGGTTTGCACAGGAGCTAAACACGGCCTGGGCTGAGCAAAATTCTACCGTCGCCGACAGGTCTGTCGCAAGCAACTTGAAGAAGGCGACTGAAGAGTGCTGTCTCACGCAGACAGAGGAGGCCGTCAAAGTTGCTAAGAAGATCGCTGGAGACTTGGGTAAGACACTTGACGCAGCCACCGTTACTTACACTAAGGCATCCGATAATCTTCCAACTGGGTACGTGTGAAATTGTTTCACTGCTTTGTCTGAGCTTCGGCCATGCTGACGCTAGAGTCGTAGATGGGAGATCCTTAGGCAACAGGTGGTTTCGGGGCTCTCCGAGGGCCTTACCACTGCCCTAAACCAAGCTATTCCAACTCTTGTTGACAACCTTGACCCAATCGCCAAAGCTAAAGCTGCCGCTGGAGGAGGTCAGAGTAAGCAGCCACCAGCTGTTGAGGCCCGTGATCCTGCATACGCTCAGCTCGCCCGAGATCTATACCTGTTCGACGCGCTGTACCGAATTCTGAACAGCCCTAGCGGGGTAGACTGGAAGAGCACTGAAGTGACGAAAGAACAACCGAAGAGTGTTATCAGTTTCATCCTCACCATGCTCGACGATTCATTGACAAGCTTCTCTAAGTTGGAAAGCAACCGGGCGCCTAGTATTCAATATAAACAGATTTTGACTGACGCGGTAAAGGTGAGTTCGGTTATTCCCATTCAGTCGAATTATAGTAAGGTTCTGACATGTTCCAGATCGCACAGAAAATCTTTATGAGTCCAAGAAGGCTAGTTCGGGTTTCAGTTACCAGAAACCAGACAAGGATGACCCTATGGTTAAGAAGTGGCAGGAAGTCTTTGAGACTCTGTACTCCGACATTTATGCCTTGAACACCAAGGCCAGGCAGCTCCCAGGAAACCCTGCCAACCCAGTAAGCCATGAGCCAGTTTTCTGTACAACTATTTCCTAACAAACACAGTCACCTTGATATCCATCCCAGGCGGATCAAACGGTGCAAATCAGTGCCAAGATGCAACAAGCCCAGCTCTTAGTCGATACCGCAACTAAACAACTTACCACAGCGTCCGAGACTCTGAAGGTCACTACCGAAGCTTACAAGGAGGCTTCCAAGCAGCTCCTCGAGCAACACACAGTCCTGGCCAATATCAAGGCGGAATTTACCAAGCTGACGAAGGAAAACATGGCATTGGTGAGCAAGCATGCATTAAAATGTGGCGTGAACTTGGACTAACCACCCATCATAGGACGATATCAAGGTTATACTGGTGCAGTGCATCAAGCTGATCATTAATATCAAGTTACAGATTACAAACTTGGTCCGCTTCTTAAGTGCCATCGCCACGATAATCGATGTTTTCGTGAGTAAAACTATAACCAATTTCTTGAAGACCGTGAGCATCGCGGTCTCCTCCGATCCAGTCGCTCTTGAAAATGGGAAAGTCGGCAACTACTCTCTTCTTGATGCTGAGCAAACCGTAAGCCAAATCTACTCCATCTTCGCTCATTACTAGGAATTTATAGCTAATGTTATACAGATGGTTTATCAAGGTGCCCTGACTATCTCTGCCTACTTCAGTCTATTCGCCGATGTAGGAACCATGTGGAGAGACGTGTCGAGCGGCCACATTTTCCCAGGCATCTCCCTTGTTGAACGGATCAGCGCCAGCACTAACGAGCCTGGTGAGATGGAGAGGAATGTCAAGATTCTGGACGATTGGTCAGATAATGCACTGTTGAGAATCCGTGAGATTTGCAAAGCTGTAGGTATTACACCAGCAATGATGTTCCATCTCTAACGACTCTCGCCATACAGAAAGAAGAGGAGATCCTCAAGGGGATGTATGAACGCATCGAGGATGTTGCATCCACTATTAAGCAGTTGCCTGCTGGCACTGTTCCCGGCCAGATCCAGTCTGTTGTTGAAAAGACTGCTAAGGAAGTAGAGGAGGTCACAATGAAGGAAATCGAGGTTGCTGCCGAGTACAAGCCCATCAACTGCCCCTCGTTAGTAAGTCCTCGTGCGAAGAAGCTCTGATTATTTATACCTATGTTGAAGATTCATTAGCGATGTAGGGAGTAGAATAAGAGATCTTAAGTAAAAGGTCTCCTTATATAAGTAGTGTATATATTAATAGTAAAAGGTTATCTTTAATTTTTAATACTCTTTATAATTATAAAAATATTAGGAAAAGTTATTTAAATCTTAAAATAGTATTAAGTTGATAAAATACTTATTTTACAGCTAATGGCTTATATTACACGCCTTACATATACCGTACACTAAGGCTGGAGCAGCTGGCTCTACCTCAGCATTTCTCGTTTTCTCTGCTAATTTGGTATATACTTACTCGGTAATGATATGGAATTGAACGAGGTTTATCTTCCGAACAGAGACCGCCTCGGTTATAAGATAGGGAAAAAAGAGTCATAATCAATAAGAGAGGCACTTCATTATACTACTGCGCTTGTTTAGGCTTATGGCCAGCATGTATCTATGCAGATGCCGCCTCAGGTGCAGACTCGTAAAAAAAGAAAAACTATAGAAATACCCCCCGCTTTGTACTTCAGCCGGTCCACGCTGGATATCTTTATGCTGAAAGGTTAACCGTCTCCCACCGGGCGCGGTGTCAGTCCTCGGCTTTATAACCGTCAATCTCATTCTCAGTCCATTTCCACAGCTTATCCGCCGCTCCTTATCCTTGGTCCACTTGCTGCCACGACCTGTAACCCCGACAGGCTCATAATACTCTCCACCCTTGACACCCTTACCCGTGGCTGCCCATAGCTGGTTCAGCACCCCAGTAGCTACATCGACACCCATAACTGCCCTCGCAACAGTAAAGGCGGTTCTCAACAGAAGGCTCTTACTGGCTGATTCATGCCCCAAGTTCGTCTTCACCAAGCCGGGGTGAACAGAGACGGCCTTGATTTGGGGATACCGTTTACTGAGCTCCCGAGCATAAAGAATGTTGGCCACTTTGCTCTGTCCATATCGAGCGCGGGTGGTAATATCATTGGCTTCCGTTCTCAGTATATCCCATAGAATTCCTTTATCTGGTGCCATATTATAGGCTTCGGAAGAGAGAACAACGACGCAGACGTCAGAGTTTGGCCAAGCGGCTGTGTTAAGAAGGGTAGGCAGCAATAATTGGGTAAGTAAGGCATGCCCCATATAGTTAGTACCAAACTGGATCTCATATCCATCATCAGTTAGTCCAGCAGGAGTGATCATAATACCAGCATTTAGCATCAGAATGTCAAGGCGCGATAATTGCTTTCTAAAGTTATTGGCAGCTTCAGAGATGCTTGCAGGGGATCCCAGGTCCATAAGGAGGAACTTGATAGATACTGAGTTAGGTACCTGCTTCTATATGTCTTCAATGGCTATGCGTGCTCTCTCGGCGTTACGGGCTCCCATCCAGATCTCAGTAGGCTCGTGCTTTGCTAGCTGCAAGATTGATTCTTTGCCGAGTCCATTACTGCCTCCCGTGACCAAAATCACCTTGCCAGTCAATGCAGGGATATCTGCATCGGGACTAAAGTTAATGCTGGTGCTACCCTCAAACATATTTCCACGTTGTCAGCTGACATGTTGTGAATAACAAGGGAGAACGTTGGTTTTGGTTCAAATAGCTAATAGGGTGATATAATGTAATATAAGAGGAATGAGCTGCTGTCGTTTTATTGGACTTAGAGTAGTGTTTTGTGTATACAATTAGATGCAGCTGATATATAATAGTATGATCTAATGGTGCTTGGCAGGAGAGGAGAATGCTGAGAGTTAGATTTATATCTTCTATTTAGGACTTTCGGCTCTGCCGAGGTGAGTATACTATAAAGAATACCCTGGCTAATTATATATATTTGCTCCCTAAAGTATATCCTCAAGAGTCAAGCCTTGCAGTCCCTCTTCTATGGTCTTAGCGGAGTTAAGATGTTAATGTGGTATTGTACTAGCTTGGCTGAGAATATTGTGGAGATGCGGCGACTTTTTATACTTTATCGGGGCGTGAGTTAGCCCGGGTGTATCTAACGGGAAGCTTGGAGACCCCTAGCCAATTCTAGCCTGGTTTATCATTAATTCACAGTCACTGAGAAAGAGATATAAGTTCTCCTTCAGCTTTATGATTGTCATGGCGTTATATATCAGTTTACAAATCACCTTTCACTACATATTACCCTCTATTCTGTGTCTTTCTTATCATCTGGACAATGACGCTTCCGAAGATAACGAGAAGATGGGTATTCCCGTCACTTGATGGCCCGTCATCCTTGAAGCTTGAATCAATTGAACTTGTTCCTCCTGGACCCAACCAGATTGTCGTCAAGAGTGAGTCTAATCCTTTTTTATAGATACATTGGAACTTGATCTTATTCCTTTCTAGTGGTTGCTTGGAGTCTGAATTATCGTGATATCGCACTCTCGCAAGTATGCCATTTTACTTTATCATTCAAGATCCTTAACACATACTGAAAATTGCTAGGGTCTGAATCCAGTACCGTTGCCGCTGCCCTACGTCCCACTCTCGGATGGTGCTGGAGTGGTCGCTGCTGTTGGTGAGCGAGTCAAGAATCTGCGTCCAGGAGATAAAGTGTTCTCAGTTTTCAAACCTGCATGGCGTTCCGGTCGTCAGAGGCGGGAGTTTGGGGTTTCGAACCTCGCAGGCTCCGACGTACCAGGCATCCTTTCAGAGTACATCGTGCTTGGCGAAGAATATTGGACACTTATGCCTAGGAACTTGACCTTTGTCGAAGCAAGTACACTCACTGTTGCGGGAGTCACCGCATGGAATGCTCTGTATGGACTGTCTGATCATCAGCTCCGACCGGGCCAATCAATTTTAACTGAGGGCACGGGCGGCGTGAGCATTTTCAGCCTGCAGGTTAAGAGCCCACGAAATCTCATCTAGCTATCTATGCTGACGGAAGTCTGTTTCTAGTTTGCAAAAGCCGGAGGAGCAAAGGTTATAGCCACTACATCTTCCACAAGAAAGGCCGAGGTGCTGTCAGCACTAGGTGCCGACCATATTATTAATTACAAGGAGGTGACAGAATGGGCTGACGCTGTCAAGAGTGCGACCCCTGGAAATAAAGGGGTAGATCTCGTTGTAGAAGTCGTTGGCGGTAACACCATGACTCAGGTGTGTTCCCTCGCTCTTCTGTATTAACTATTCGAGGCTAATTAGGAGTCAGGCAATGAAGACTGTCAAGTCAGATGGACTTGTGACGATAGTGGGCTTCATCGCTGGGCTCGCAGAGCAGCAACCTTCAATTGTTGATATGTTTTTCAACATAGCCACGTTCCGGTCTATCCACTGCGGAAGCCTGGAGCATTACTCACAGATGGTTGCGGCTATTGAGCAGCATGATATTAAGCCACATGTTGATCGTGTCTTTTGGTTTGAAGACGTACCTGCTGCATATAACTATATGATTGAGCAGAACTATGTCGGAAAGATCTGTATCTCAGTAGAATAAGATATGATATATATCGGGAAAGCTTCTCGGGGTAAAAGCTGCTTAAGTTATGAACTTCGCCATCAAGAATCCGCCAATTGCCACTCAAATTCGACTCGACTTGATACTTACCATCCTGTTTCCTGTACTGCCTATCCGTGCCCTCAGTTAGCCTTTACCTGCTCCCCTCCCTGCAACAGCTTTTTTTAAATAGCTAATTGAATTCACTCTGGACTGATTAAACTGACACTGAATTCCAGTGATAATCTTGGAAATGGAGTCTTGAACCTAGCCACCTCCTATGTGATGTAACTCGCAATAGCCTCAATAAGGGCAGCTAGCAACCTTTCCAGGCCAATAGCCTGTTAATGCTCCTTCAGGGATCCATTCCTCCGTAAGCACAAATGCCGCGAACCCATATAATAAGGTTGTCTCAATTGGCACCCCTGTACTGGACCCTAGTAGCCAGAAGCATCACCTTTACCACTATGGTCCCGAAAGACAACACGGCAAGCAACAGCGTGCAATAGAAGAGTGATGCGATGGAAAACGAAGGAATAATGGAGAAGGTCAAGAATCTCAACCATGGGTCAGAAAGCTAGTTGCAGAATGCAGATATGACTTTGAAGCAGCCTGCAGAGCGTGAGTATGCGAAGAAAGAGAAAGCCCTTACTGAAGAAGCAAGCTTGAAAGCGGCACAAATAACGGCGAGTATCGCCCAGCTTGCCGCCTAGGGAAAAGCCTGCGCACATCAATCAAAGTCACTCATGACATCTTTAGACTCGGAGATCCAGCGATTGGAAGGTCAGCTAACTCGAAAGAACCCTCCAGACATGATCACCGGTGTCGAAAGCAGCATGGAAGGAGAGATTCCAGTTGTCAAGAGCAAGCCATGGACTGACACCAGAGCTGGAGGCAGTGACTCCTGCACACCCGGCGTGAGGACTGAGATTGCATTCACCATGATCTCTCAGACATGCCATCTCAAATGATATGAACATGGAATCTCGGGGGCTTTCGACACCGGCGTCCCGTCATGGCTAGCTTAGTTCAAGGCAGAATCCAGCTTCTCCAAGTAACCCAGGAGATTTCTGACTTTATGTTAAGTTGCACTGTCAGTGGCTCATTGTCTGCAATGGTCGTGAGCATGAAGCCGCCATGGCTTCACGCCGAGTTGTTCCAAGACTCCGATATCGACTGCCGACTGGCACGTTTCTGAGTCCAGGTGCTGAAGCCATTAAATCCTGGGTTGAATCTGGTGACGAAGAATTGGATGGATTTAATAGGGGTAGTAATGGGAAGTTCCCTGCTTATCCTATATCATTTATCGTTACTGCAGATACAAACTTATCTTTCAAAAGCATTGAGGAAGATGCGAAACAGGCTTTGGACGTACTTCAGACTAACAGTAGTGTAGAAGTGAGCTTTAGACGTTGGGGTACTAGTGAAGGTGCGGGAGCAACGTGGTCTGGCAGCATCGTTTTCCATCTGTATGGAAGCTGATCTATTTTCCTGCTGCGGACAATAAGGGTGCCAGTCGGCACGTGGAGGTGGAGGATGGGGCATTGAACAGATCTTGCCAGGCTCCTGGGATCATCGGAGGGGTCAGTGAGGTCCTACCTGAGTTACCGTGCGGAGCTAGACCATTAGTTAGGGGTCTCAATGGTGCCCCCATCCGGGATTCCGCACAAACTTGGAAGTGGAACCTGAAGTGATTTAGGCTGGGTAATTAATAGGTCTGTAATTGAATGAATTTCCTTGGCTGTGAAGTGCACGTATCTGTTAGCAAAACTAGGCACTGAATGATAGATGTCTGTACTATTGGCAACTTGATCTAACAATATCTCTCCGTAATAGCTGGCCAATTGCTCCAGCAACTGAGAAGGACATGATGGCTGCCTAAGAGCTGAATTTAGAGCTTTCTCATTCAGTAATCGCCGTTTCTACTTCGACTGCCTCCAGAGAAGTAACTCTGCCCTGTTTCAGAATAGATCTACCATTCTGTCTGCCTCGGTGAAGTCCCTGGAGTCTAACTAAACAAGGTTGACACGAGATTACAGGGGTAACGGCTCAGAGTGTCAATCTGATTGGCTCGCAAAGGTTGCTTCCGAGACTGACTAGCCTGGAGCCACTGAAGCTAAGATATTTACAGGTCAATTAAGCGAGGGCTGAAGCAGTACGACGATCCCTTCTTTAGCCTTATGCACTCCCCGTATCATTAATCCATATCCATAAACGAAAGTATCATTTTATCTTTTCGCAAGGCCTCAACGGCTGTTTCACGTTGCAGGCAGAGCATAGAAGATTCTCTGGTTTTACTAGGTTCCCGATTGACAGTTCCGAGTTTTCCGTCTGAGATGGCTGAAACAGCTTCTGATTGGTCCATTATCACGATGGGTCTCGCTGGTATAGGGTGAGATCGCCCAAAGGTACAGGTAGCTAAATAGCATCGTTATCGTTTACACAACACATGAGCTCAGCGATCCCTCACGAATTTGTAGGGAGAATTCCGCGTGCGGAATCCCAAGAGTTCATATTGAAGTTGTTGACTATATAAGGTGCAATTGTTTCTGACAGTATTGTGTGCACAAGCTTCTTGCTCATTTTTAGCTTCAGACCTCCACATCTCATTAACTTGCTCCTTACTTCTACTTTGCTTAACATAACAATGCCTCGACTTCCACCTCTTGATAAGCTGCCTCTTGCGGCACGCAAGAACCGTAAGTGACCGTCTTTACGGAATCAGTTTTGATATTGATCAGTAGTTCACAGTCCGCGATGAGTGGCAGAATAAACTGGCAGACTTTGAGGAACAGCTCTCGAAAGCCATGGGCGTTGAGTGGAAAATCGACATTGACGCCCTAGCTGTAGTGCCTTATGGCGCTCCGGACTCTTGGTCCCGAGAGAGCCCAGGCTCAATGATTGCAAAGTAAGAAACCACTCACATCCTACAGCAAGATACACAAGCTCACAAAGTTAGCTATGTCGAGGAGGCCATTAAGGAACTTGAAAGAAACCCCAAATACCACGATGAGATCAACAAGCTGGCCTCCGCTCATGTCCTACCATGGATGTGGATGAGGAAGAAACCTTTGATGCATGCGGAGCCAAGTTCACAAGTGACGGGAAGCTTGCTATAGTCTTCGGTGCCGACAGACTCGGTTCCAACACTGGCGATGCCTTTTGGCATAAGAACCTGGAGAAGGGCATCAGCCTGGCTCCTACTACAGATGAACTGAGCTTTTACGCCCGCAAAGGCATCCGCGAAGACTACGAGCCGGACATTGCTGACGTCCAGTCTGAGCTAAAGGGTATTATCAAAAAGGATATTACCCTGGTCCCCAACTTTGAGGAGACTTACAAGAAACTGAAGCATACCAAGGATGGCACTGACTTTGACCAATACCTTGGTGCCTACATTTTCAACTACTTCCGTGGCCTGGTTAGTACGTTGAAGTGGCGCAAGTTTGACAGCGATGATATGCTGCAGGAGGCTCTGAGTGAGGCATTGGAGAAAGGAGAAGTGCACTTTCGCATCCTTGATAAGGTTGAGGGCAGTAGTGGAGAGGCAGCTATCGAAGATGGCATACTCTACTTGCAGGTAAGTTGACTTGTCCTTCAGCCACATGATTCTGACGCTAATAATAATACTCGACAGACATCCCCTGACAAGTGGGGATCAAACATTGACGACATCTCCAACAACATCATGGACCTACTTTGAGATGTTCAGGAATATGTCCGTGGCTCCCTATCTTAGTTTGTGGCAACTGTTGGAGAACTTGCCCAGGCTCTGAGGATTATGTAGATGCGGTGGCGAGCTAGCCTCATAGTCAATGACGAGATGTCTAATCCATCGATAAAGATATGGACTCGATCGGAAAATCCGGACCAATTGTGACACTGTGATTGCGTATTAATAGATGCTGCTGAAGATTTTGCTGTCTGCTTGTTTAAATGAAATACCACTAGCTGGGAGCTATTGCTGAGACTATTGGCGTTGGTCCCGGCCTGAGCTGTAAAAACGGCAAATTGTGGGTACCCCCTGATGCTAGTCAGGTTGACTGTTGAAGTTGCCTCTAGTCGTGTGAAGAAGGCGATTTATCTCATTTCGGATTTTCCGGAGTCGCTAATCGACGATGGAAATCTCTATCTGTAAGGCTGTATGTGTAAGAATATCTATAAGAATGTCTCAGTTCAGCTGATGCTGTCTCACCGAAGCACCACTCATTCAGGTCTCGAGCAACAGCAACATACCCTTCGTCGCCATGCATATTTCCTCTCTTTTCTCCTCAGCTCTGCTGTTATCAACCGCTATCGCGGCACCGCAACCTGATTACTCTACAACCAGCGCAGCCAATCATGGCAAGGTTGCCAAGTATCAGAAGCAATGTCCCTTCAGCATTCCTCATGTCAAGCCTCACAACCAACGATATGAGCACACGATTAACTTCCCCAAGGGATGCGAAAGTGGAAAGTTCATCAATTGGAAGACATACAAGGCCAATGGTGTAAATCTAGGCGCTTGGCTTGCAAAGGAAAAGACCCATGATCCCATCTGGTGGAACTCTCTTGGTACCAAGGCCGCTGCTACGATTGATGAATGGGGCTTGTGCCAGGCTCTTGGAAAACAGTGCGGTCCAATCTTGGAGAAGCGCTATGCGTCCTTCCTGAATACCTCTACCATTGATACCCTTGCCAAGGTCGGGATCAACACGCTTCGTATCACTACCACCTATGCCGCTTGGGTCAAGGTCCCTGGTTCTGCTTTCTACCATGGCAAACAGCAGGAACATCTTCGCAGGATCACTCAGTATGCTATTGAGCGATACAACATGCATATCATCATTGGCCTCCACTCTCTGCCCGGCGGTATCAACAACCTCGACATTGGCGAAGCTTTCGGGCATGATGCCTGGTTCTATAACTCCACCAACCTGGCTTGGAGCTTCAAGGCTGTTGACAAGGTTCTCGATTTTATTAAAACCAGCGGGCACAAAAACGCCTTTACCATTGCTCCCCTCAACGAAGCCAGCGATAACTTGGCTGGTTTTGGTTCATCAGCTGGTCTCTCCGACAAGGCAACCAACTGGATTCTGACCTACATGAACGGTGTTTTCCAGCGCGTCGAAGCCGTTGACAAGCGTATTCCGATCATGCTTCAAGATAACTTCAAGGGTGCCGCCTTCTGGTCTCCACTGTTCGACAAGAAGCGCAACCTCGTCATTGACTCGCACGTCTATTACTTTGCCGCTTCGGGTACTTACTCACAGTATGTCGCACCTGCTGTGTGCGGACAAGCAAAGTATCTCGCCGAGGAGACCAAGTTCCCTGTGTTTGTTGGCGAGTGGTCGTTGCAGACTATGTACAACAACACATTGTCCGTTCCTAGCCGAAAGACGATCTTTGATACTCAGCGCTATGCTTGGCAGAAGTATGTCGCTGGTGGTGCTTTCTGGACAGCTGTATCTTACTCCAATACGCCTGTCGATGGACAAGGTATCCAGAGGGATTACTGGAGTTATGTTGACTTGATCAGGGCTGGGGTTGTTACCAAGGCCACAACTAAGAGCTATTGCTAAAGGGTTCCGATCCAATTCGTCAGAACTCTGGTTCGCTACTTACTCTTCTACATTTCTTGTAAATACTTTCTCTTATCTTATATATGTGTATTATCTTTTCTTCTGATGTCAGCTGGGGCTAAATGATTATTTACATTGATTCTGTTGCTGTAATCTGGCAGAGATTCTCATCAGGCAGATAGAGAACGAATAGCGGTCAAAGAAGCCAATGAAGTCTTCATTCCTGTTCTTACAGTCTCTGGGTCAATCCCCAGTTAACCTGGCCTGACATACTTATGTCGGTGTCTCCTCATTTCTTTATACCGTACTCCCCAGGCGCCAGCTTAACTATTGCCCGCCTTTTTCAGACAGGGCTTTTTCTAGCGGTGACCCTTCAACCAGTTCGTTATTTGCGACACAAGATTGAATACACGGATACGACGGTTCGTAGGCTGTTTCGTCTAAATTGATTACTCGGTAATGAACGGGGATAAGGACTGTGGGGATTGCCTTGGTTCAAAATTACGTGACGGGGAAAAGGGTTACATGGCGTAATCTGCATCTTATCAGCCGTCCAGTGGTGGAAATATTAGTTCAGTGTCTTATGACCACGGGAAGTGGGATTTTTCGGATATGTGTGCCGTCTCAACTAGCATCTGAGACTTATCCGATAGTCGATCTCGGAATTGGTCCCAAGAATTGGGCATATCTAGAACGAGTTGGACGCGAGTAGCAGTCAATTGCTGCTGAAACATGCACTAAAACGTTAAGATCTAGTCAGCTGAAGACAAGACTGACTTCACCAAATAGTAAACAAACTATTGAACTTTAGATAAAGCTGTATCTAAGTCTAGATGCACTCGCTGTCTCTTAGTCCCTTTGACAGATTAAGTGGTCCCTGACTGGCTCGGAGATGTCTAACTAATTATGCACCAATAACCGAATACGCTAACTGACAACTCCAGTCTAACATTGTAAGCTTGTCACTTAGCTCGCTCCTTTACAATCTGCTTTGTAGAGTCTAACGGATAGAATCGTTCGAGAATGGAAATGCGGAGCTGGCATCTTCCGATCTAGCCTTGCTTGAGATATCATGCCGAGGCTAGCAGTGAAGGGTCTGAACCACGATTATGGAACTATCTACATGCCAACGGCTTTAGTGGTTTTAGTCCGGTAGTGGTTGTAAGCCACATGCCGTGATCCGCCATCCATGTCAAGGGGTTTATATAAAAGGAACTCAATTTCCAGAGCAATGCGAACGTTTAGCCACGGTCTCAATCAGTTCATTGCTGCATTCATATCACACGATGAGATTTGAGATTCTTTTCGCACCCGCATTTGCGGCTTTTGTTCGCGCTGCTGGCGTTACTGGCGCTGCTGAAGGCTTTGCCAAAGGTGTCACAGGCGGTGGCTCAGCTGCTACTGTTACCCCTACGACAACTGCCCAGCTCGTTTCCTATCTCGGAGACTCCTCTGCCCGAGTTATCATCTTGGACCGAACCTTTGACTTCACTGGAACTGAAGGTACCACTAGTGCGACTGGCTGCGCTCCCTATGGCACAGCTTCAGCCTGTCAGCTTGCCATTAACAAGGACGACTGGTGCACCAATTACCAGCCCAACGCGCCCAAGGTCAGTGCCGAGTAACTCTCCTGTTGAAATCGCACCCATTCTAACCTCTCAATCGTATTACAGGTCAGTGTCAAGTATGACAATGCTGCACTGAACCCCATTCTCGTTGGGTCGAACAAGAGTCTCGTCGGTGTAGGAAGCAAGGGTATCATTAAGGGCAAGGGCCTCTATATTGCAAAGGGTGCCAAGAATGTCATTATCCAGAACATTCACATTACCAACCTCAACCCTCAGTACGTCTGGGGAGGTGATGCTATCGCCCTTGATAACACGGATCTTGTGTGGATTGACCATGTTACTACATCCCTTATCGGCCGGCAACACATTGTTCTTGGCAACAACCCAAGCAATCGAGTAACTATCTCGAACCACAAGCTCGACGGTGCTACGTCTTGGTCAGCCACATGCAACGGCTACCATTACTGGGGTTTTTACTTTACAGGCTCTTCTGATGTATGTCCCGTTCCCATGTCTTGTTCGACAAGATCAATACTCCCTTCCACCTCTTATGACAATTTGCTAACTTGAATAGACCGTTACTTTCAAGAACAACTACATTTACAAGACATCTGGTCGTGCTCCCAAGGTCGGCGGAAACACCCTTCTCCACGCCGTCAACAACTACTGGTACGATAACGCTGGACACGCTTTCGAAATCGGTGCTGGCGGCCAGGTTGTCGCCGAGGGCAACATCTTCCAGAATGTTGCTACACCGCTCGAGGCCTCGAGCTTTGCTGGTAAGCTCTTCGCGAGCCCCAGCACCGCCGCCAACGCTGTCTGCTCATCTTACCTCGGCCACGTATGCCAAGTCAACGGCTTTGGAAGCTCTGGTACTCTCTCAGGCAGCACCACAGATTTCTTGGTCAACTTCAGTGGCAAGAATGTTGCTTCTGCTGCTGCCTACTCCAGTATCACTGGTCTCTCGTCCAGCGCTGGCTTTGGTACCATCTAGACATTTGGCAGACTGGTATGGTTGAAGACTCAAATCGATGCTTTCACGGATCAGAGAAATGTTTCTTATGTACATAGTTCCTAAGTAAATAGCAGCTGGCTGTCGTAGTTTGCGGTTGTTGATTGACCGCTATAAAACCAGTGTGAGACAATAGAGTATATGTTGTTTTGATCGGAACAGTCAGGCATTCTGTCCATTGCACAAATAGAGCTTTTTGCATTCCATGCTGGGATGCCAAGAATAATAAAACAATCCTATCCTCAGTCAAAGTCTTACTACCCAGATATCGCAACTGTTGTCACAATTGCCATTGCTAACAGGAGCATAACATAACTGCGCTGACTCGTCCTGTTTGCTGCGTTCTCTTTAGCATCATCTCCTCCACTAGTTTTGGTGAAATCCGCTTCCTGATGAATAAGTGCCACTGCTGGAATCCTTTCAACAACTTGGCGGTCTGCAGACAATTCTCCCGTCGGCATATCTCGCGTGAATGTTGCTAGAGGAACAGGTTCAGTATAGATGTAATAAGGACGGCCACTTTTCGTGCTTGTCAAGGGTACCGCAGATGTCGGTATGAGGAATCCACAGATCTCTGTATATCCATATGAGGACGCTGGGCCAACCACTGAGTAGCAGTTTCCATTAAAGTCAAGTGTGTACTCGCTGAGTTAATTAGCGAAACGTCAGCCACACAGACATTGAGAAGCCTACCTTGGGCAACAAACAGCGAGTGTCTCTGATGGTTCCAAGACTTGATTCCAGACACTTGTCGGATCTGTGGGAAATGGCCGACCTGGCTCCCACCGGTCCGGCACAAGCTCTGATTCCGTCTTGGTGAGAGCCCCCGTTATCTGTGCAGTGCCTCCATTTCCTTTGACGTATTTTCCAACGGTCGTCCAGTTGGCCGGGCAATACAGACCCGGCGAATAATAATGGTAAAAGCCGATATCGAAACTCTTGGCATACGTTGCTGTAATAAGGTGATCGTATTTATCTCCAGATGGTATGCATTTACCATACAGCTGCATTGTACAGGTAGGCCAAGCCCAAAGATATTCAGGCTGTTCGCTGCGGTCTCGGTAAGGAAAGTAAAGATGATCTGTAGCAGTGGCACATGATGTGGGTGCCGTATAGGTTGTTGTTAGCGGCCCAAAGTTGGTTATACTGGCCTGAGATATGTAGGTCACGGTAGGCATCTTGTTGGCAGGCTTAAAAGGTTTCTGATTAAAGTAGCTCTCTGGCTAGTAAGCGAAGCAAAGTTATGTATTTTTCTCATTGGCATTGGATGCTCAACATGGGCAGAATGGTCATATAAGTATTGGGTCCCCATACTACAACAGAACTTGCAATGCAATGTAGCGCTTTAGCTGTGCTACCATGCTCGATGTGGCCACCAATCATTTATGTCTTTGGGGGCCAAAACACAACTCGATGTTAAAATAACGGCTGCTACCTGCTGGATCCGGCCTAGGTTGGTGTGGCACAGTCGAAGGATATCAGGCTGCGCCGCTAAAATCAGGTTTTAAAGCCAGGAATGTCATTCATGTGATCTAATTACTCCCTCCTACTGTATTTAAACAGTGATTAAGCTTAAAAAGCTGGCAGTGGCTGGGTCAGTGCTTGATGTAGCTTAATAAACCAATGCTCTTGATCTTCTCCAGGCAATGTCTCTCCCGGATTAGTTACTACAGGACAGCCGCTGATGTTGTCTTTATGCTTACTTGATGTTTTTATTTAAGCTAGGTAACTCGAAGATTTCCAAGCTGCCTTCTGCTATCTCCTCCTTCCTATTATTTAATCTAATCAATGTTCTACAAAAGATTAAACGATGTAGGGTAATGAAAGCCTGAGTCGGGTGAGTGCGTTGTTTAGCAGAGACATTGCTAAAGGTATGTGTAAAATTCACTGTCAGTTGAGGTGAGATCAGAAGCTGCTAAGGCCTGATACACTGTTTCGTACGTACTCGCCTTGTAATGATCTGGGAGTTATATCTGGTGTGATCAAGGCACAGTAAATAAGAGAGTACGGTTACCTGACCAAGTTCCAGTATCCAATCTCGAGACGTTTTAACAGAGTTTTGACGGGAGTTTCCTCCTGAGCCATGACCATGATGGCCCATTTGCCAATATCAGAAATCGTGATTTGAGTAAGTGCTACTGGAGTAATAAATCTAATGTGCGTGCGGTTAGTAGAGTGCTTTAGTTATTGAGGATTATGCTAAGTATAGACCTGACGCCTCATGCTTACATTACGCGCCTTACCTTTTCAGAGGTATAATTTTCATCATCTATATAATATCTACAAAGAGCATCGCAAACACAGTCAAAGTAGCGGTATTGCAACTCCTAGAATTCTCCTAGTTCTTTATTCCTCGCATATACAAGAAGCATCATCGGCATTCCGGCACCACAATGTCAGAATACATTCAGAAATGCTTCCACCAATGGTAATAATAATCCTAAAGGGGCATAGTCCTCAACATTCCGAGCATTGTGGTATGTTTTTTACGCACCAGCAGGGCGTGCATTCTGAAACGGAGCGTCCTTGTCCGCAATTAATTACCCATATGCGACAGAAGCCACTTCGATTCAATGCCAGCCATCTCGGAATATTCGGGGTCCGTTCGTGTTACATAGTGAGGACGAATCGCTGTTGTTTCTATCCGCGCACCGAGATGTTCTAGCTCGCCTATTCTCGTCCACTCCGAAACATCTAGTCATGGTTGTCTAGTTTGTTTCGGATATTATCTCCACCAACCATCGAACGTGCATTGATCAACGAACTCAGCGTCGATCTTCGGACATATGTCCGCCAATTACACCAAATGTTTGTTTACTACAGAGACCATGTCCTGGAATTGGATATAAAGATGTCGAGATGCCAAGCAAACTAGTCACCAATTGTTCTAGTCAGCCAAACAACAAACTCTCAAGATGCCTTTTTCCAACCAGATCCTCTCCGTCCTTGCGGCCATCGCCGTCGCCACAGCCAACGCCGCCATGGGCCCTGCTTTTAGCACTGGCCCCGTTGGCTCTGGCTCCTGGATCCGTGAAGCCACTTCAACTCTTGTTCTTCCCGACGTCCCTCAGGGCTCTACTGGTGTTGCCTCTCTTTGGGTTGGAATGGGCACTGACAAGGGCGACTTGATCCAGTCCATTGCAGACAACTGGCAGTCCGATGAGTGGAGTATCTTTGCTTACACTCTCACCAAGACTGGAGATAACTCTCAGCTGCCTGTCCAAGATGAGCACCAGACTCCCGCCAAGAAGGGTGATCATGTCACGATGCACTGTAAGAAGCACTTGACTCCCCAGTAAAATGGATGAACTGACCGTGTGCAACAGACAAGTATGATGCCTCAACTCAGGAGTACGTTCAGTACGTCTCTATCAATGGCAAGCAGGTCTCTACTCTCTCCACCTCCAAGGGCCACGAGGCCATGGGCTTTGGCAGCTCCGTTGAGTGCGGCGCCTCGGACTGCGGAACCATTGGTGCTCACCGTAAGTCGCAAAAGTTAATCGAACATGAGTTTGTACTAACAGCACATTTCAGAGTGGGTTGACACCAAGATCATCCTTGATAATGCCGACCCGGACTACATCCAGACCTTTGGAAAGGGCGAGGGCGTTACTGGTAGCGAGATGACTACAAGCGATGGTGGCAAGACATGGGTCATTAGCGATGTGAACATCCCCTCGTATACATTCTAAGTGATGCCGTTCTACTTATCTGGCAGAACCCATAGTCCTGTATCATGTATCTTAGCTGAAGACCCCGCCCATCGGGCGCATGCAACCAGGGAACAACGAAACTAGTGAGGCAGTAAGCGGGCGATTAGAATTGATCTTTAATTGCCACACTATACGAAAGATATGGTTGAAAATGATGACGTGTACAATTGTGGCTGCAGAAGCTGAAGCCAAGATTATGCAGGCTGTTCCGCGACATCACCCGCGAGCTTCCAAGCCAACTCCCAACGAAAGAGATGATTTTGAGGCCAGACTTCAGGGCGATCTACATATAATTGTAACGAATTGGGGCCGCTTCGCATAAACTCTGCAGAAAATATGACGCAGCTTGCAGAAAAGGTAGAAGGACAAAGCTGCTGCTGGTTGCTGATGCACCCGCTTGCTCGCTCTACTGCCCCTTAATTACCAACATTTCTTATCGTAGGCTCTCCATGCCTGGAAATTTCGTGTCGGCATAAGGGTGGGGAAGAAGATGAAAACCTGGAATAACAAAAAGAAAGTTATAAAAGTGACAGGCCACTAACGGCGTAATTTACAGGTGGACTGATAGTTACGCTAGGTTTATAAAACATAATTCAGCACTTAATTAAACCTCTCTCGGCAACAACTTCAGCTAAACATTTATCGAAGACTAAACTATAACTCACGACCCTTTTTCATAATGTCTTCTTTGAGCAGCAACCACTCTTCCGATGATGTTCATGAGATTAGAAATTCCGGTACTGATGAGCCTGTCGAGTCAGCCTCAACCCGTTTCTTGACCACCGATTCCGCCCGCTGTGCAGACGGCGGGAGTGACGGCCTAATCAATCTTATGTTGGATATTGAAGCGGATTACTCGTAAACCGATAAGAAAAGACTTGTAGAAGTCAGCAATTTACTCAGAGGTGACAGCTCGCAAGTCAATTGTAAAGATGGACATGAGAGAACTCCCCTCCATATCGCCGCGGAACATGGAATGCTTGAAATAGTGCGAAAGATCATCAATTTTGACAGCCGGACTCTACATGCAAAAGACAAAAACAAGCGTCAGCCTTTACATGTGGCTTGCAGAGAGGGGAAAACAGAGACAGCGCGACTTTTCCTGGATGCCGGAGCGGATATCGAGGCAGAGCAAAACCAAGAAATAACTGCACTGGATGATGCTGCCTATCATGGCCACACAGATGTCGTCAATCTTCTTCTGGACACAGGCGCTAATGTCGACGTTGCTGATTGCGATGGATTAACTCCTCTACATAACGCAAGCTCCGAGGGCCATATAGAGGTAGTTCGCTCCATACTCAAACATCCTAAAACACCTAAAACAACCATCAATGCACAAGACAAATCTGGTTGGGCTGCGCTGCATATGGCAATTTGGGAAGATTACCGTAATACCGTTTCTTTCTTGCTAGAAGAGGGAGCAGATCTTACCCTCAAAACAAGCGATGGATGGACACCCCTACTCACAGCAACGCCACGATATCTAGATATGGTCAGGATTATACTAAGATACCGCGACAAAAGAGACATACAGCTGGAAGCCGATTATGAAGAAGGATACACAGCACTACTGGAAGCCAGTAGAAAGTCTCAGTTAGCAACAACACGCATTTTGATAGAGGCGGGGGCGAACCGCAAAGCCCAGGATAAGTATGGAAGAACTGGCCTCCATTTGGCTAGCAAGACTGGATATGTCGACATGTTGAAGCTCTTTTTCCCGTTATTGAACGGAGAGATGATTGAACATCAATGCGACGGCAGCAATACTGCTCTTCACCTAGCCTGTGGTGCTAGAGATGATTCTGACAATAGCTCTGACAGTTCGTGTGTGTTTGTCATTCGGGAGTGGGAGCATCAAGAAGGTCAGCATGGTTCGGTGATTCAGTTCTTGTTGGACAATGGGGCGGATAAACATGCGAAAAATGATGCTGGAGACACACCTCTCCATGATGCGGCAGCAAGCGGTATTTCCAGCAGGCTTGAGCCTTTACTGAAGGTGGTAACCCCCAAAGATATGCTAGCGCAAAATTCAATGGGCTGGACAGCGCTTCGCTCAGCTTATTTGGGGGAAGATCGAGAAATTGCAATGACAGCTTTGTTGAAATCCGAACACCTGCAGACGGCCAATTTTGGGGCACACGATGTATGGCTGGATGCCGTCAAGTGGGCTGCGAGCAATCCTGCAAACTTTCCCATTGCGAAACTGCTGGTCTCGAAAAGGCCGAATTCAAAACGCCCGCAGTCCCTGCCATCAACGGACGACAACTTGATCGAGTCAGCGGCAAATCAGCTGATCCCGGACCTTCTTTTGATACTGATTGGTAAGATGGATAAAAACATGGATAAAAACCTGGATACCCTCAATGCCCTTCAGTCAGCTCTCAAGACGACCCTGCAGGCGATCCAAGACGGCCTCGAAGGAACTACAGCGATGGATACCGACAGAAATCGACTTAAGGTGCTCTGGGTCCTCATGGCAACCTTGAGGGGATTTGGCATCCAGGGCCTTGTCGACAGAACACTTCGATCGGTAAAGAACACGAGAGACAAGTTGCAAGAATTGGCGTCGAGCTCACTATTGAAGGACAGCTTGAATACAAAGGCTTTCGGTCCAAGGCACCCACGTATACCCCAAAATCGGTATAGAGTCGCCGGAGAGACGCACCATCCGGAGCTCCGTGATGCTGAGGCAAGGGAGACACGCCTGAGTTACTTGGCGGAGTTGGAAGATATCCTCCGCGATCCACCCCGCACCCAGTTTCAACGGCACTTTCAAGATTTGAAACCTCCAGAGATTGGATCCCCTGCTATCGGCAAGCTGCTACAAAGATTTGAGGCCACCATTACCCTATTTCTTGAAGACAAAAAGTGTCTGGAACTATTACCAGGCATCGTTCAGTGAAAGACATGGTATACAAAATTGGACCGAAGAAGATTGTCGAAGACACCATGAAAGCCATGAGTACAATAAGTGGCAACAATCGCGAGCTTCTAGGCTATGACGTAGGGAAAGAGACACAGCCCCAGTTCACATGGGTACACTTGCCGGCAACAAACGTATGTGTATTCACTGCTGTTTGAAAGGTGTTATGACTGATGATTTTGCTTAGCTAGATTGGATGAATGTAAGCACAGACGTCCATTGTGTATTCGCAGTCTGATCTCAACGTAGCGCACTGTTGACTTACGTGTCTCACAGGACTTGTTCATAAAGATAATGGACGAGGGTCCCTATACTCTATCTCACTATCATGATGTCAACTCATTTTTCCAGAACAGTTTAGTCCATGTACCTAATGCAAAGTCACCATCACGGTTTTTGAGACCTCGGGCATTGACAAAGCATTGGATAAGAAGCGCACACGATGGAGAAAGCACGATGGCAGACCCCGGAGGTACTTATAGAGAGGACATCGGAAAGTCTAACTATAGAAGGCTAATAACAGAGATAGATCCAGGAAAAACGCCGAATACCGAAGAGGGGGGAAATGTTGCAGCAACCGCTGTCTATGTGAGTGAATTCTAGACGTATATTTATGGCCTCGATCTAATCTGATATCCTAGATGCCCTACTTCAGCTTCTCGACGTCTGATCCCAGCCAAGACAGTTCTGGGGTAAAGGGTACAAATATGACAAAGGAGCCGCGATTGAAAACTAGTGCAAGATCATTAGAAGAGGCATACGGAGAGTCACTCCATGGATCACCAACCCTTGATGAGTGGTACTATCATTTCGGAGAGGATGAAGGATCTAAAAGAGATCGCAATAATCGTAATGAAACGCAAGTGGTTTCAAAGTATCTTGAGACCATCAACACTGAGGATCATGGAGAAGGGCAAGGGAGCATTTCAATCTACGATTGGGATAAGAAACCTGCTCGAAGCTCTACAGTTTTACGGGTCAACCAGCTATGGATTTGGACCATCGCAGACAGTATGTTAAACTTCTCATAACCCCATGTTATCTGTCCTAATGACACTTTGTACAGAATGGCTTATAACGGCAACATCTCATCAACCTGAACCAAACTCTTCTACTCTAGAAGAGGATATTCTCAAGCAGTTTCGTCAACAAGGACAATCCGCTGGGAGTAGCATACAGCCAAGATGAGCCACTGATATGAGCAGGTTCATTGTTCAGCATTGTATCGGTTCATATGACAGACCTCCTCCGAGCGGCTGTCCAGTATCCATTGGCCAGGCATTTTCTCATCTTTTGAATCGTATTGTGAGTCGCGACCTGCGGAAAATGGCCTGATAACTGATAATGAGATAGGGTAGAGATGAATCAGCAATCTTTGAAGATTTTCGAAGACGAACTGCAAGTTGGCAACGCCGTACAAATGATAACAGACCGGAAAGGCGAAAGGATGTTGGCTCATCGGATACGAACAAAGCTACCACTGGTTTCCTCTCTCTCCATGAATCTAAGATGTCGCCAAATGAAGAGATAAGGGATGCAATTAGAAAAACAGAAAGTCTGTTCTGTCACATCAAGGACGTCCGTGATGAGCTCAACATACTTCGATCTGCCGCTCGATACCAAGAGAACGTTGAGAAAGGGCTGATACTGGGAGAAACTCAGACTTCGGAGCTCTTATCAAAAAGCGTTCTTAACGACATCAGAGAAATGGAAGTCGTTGCGGAGAGGATACAATTGGCTGTAAGCTTGTTTCGTACTCCTATGAGCTTTAACTCGGCGACTAATTAGGACACAGGTAAACACAACGCTATCGCTACAGCAGAGTGAAATTGTGAATTATCAAGCTACGCTAGCCACTTCGCAAGGGAAGACTGTCATGGCCTTTACATTCGCTACTGTCCTTTTTGTAAGACGACATTTATACCCATCAATACCATTACTCAACAAACTAATATCTGCATAGCTTCCACTATCGTTTCTTTCATCCCTGTTCGCGATGGACGTGGCGTCTTTTCAGCAAGCTCCTGCCTGGGCCTTTTACGTTATTTGTAAGAACGACGCGCGGTTTAGTCACGAAAATGCTAACAACGGACATCTTAGTCTTTGTCTCACTTGCAGTGTCTGTATTCCTTGTTTTCATTGCACTTCATTGGGATTTCATCATTTCAAGTATTGCCCGCAGCCTACTTGGTATCGTTGAGTCTATTGGCTCGACTTCATCTCCCCGCTCGACTGAAGGGATCTCTGGAGATGCTGGGGCGAGAGGGCCTATTGGAGGGTCTCACAAACACGATGATATCAGTCCTGTGTAGATGCAGCTTTAAACACGTGTCCTACTTAATCAGCTTGATATCATGTGTATACATCCGTTCCCTTAAAAAGATTCTAACAGTTGGCTGAGCATGTCATGACCGCGGGCGACACGGCGTCTACGCGCCGGAAATTGATAATACGCACTGGCTGGCTTCTGAGACAGTGCACGATAATTGGTGAGCCGTTGTTATGTAAGTATGCATGGCTTTCTCTTCCACCGAAACAATTGGTTGGTTATTTCCTGCGACGTCAGCCGCACAAGGCTGGCGCTTACGCAAAGCAAAGCAAGCGGAGAAATCACGCAGCTTCTTTGGTACTTGAAATAGTCTGTGATTAATCTCAATATTTGAGTAAAGCACTTAATTTCGAGATATCTCGTCATGGTACGGCTTGTTCCAGAAGCGATACTTCATTGCTGACATGGTGACGAGTAGCCACTCCGACAATTGTACCCAGACCCCGAAGCGGCTGAGAATCATGGCCCACCTGCTATGATAGAGTTCGTAAACAATGACTCGCTAGTATCAGTCCCACTAACTCTGTCAGCATTGTTGCTGTTCCTGGTCTTGGTCCTCCCACGGAAGGTGAGGCGAAACACGCATTCGACACGTGGAGAACTCCATCGGGCCAGAAGGGACGTTCGTGGCTGCAGCAAGATGTTCCAGACCATATTCCTTATTCTCGAATCTTTTTGTATCAGTACAACACGACTGCGGCATATGGTGGAGGCCTCGATGGCTTTCGTAGCAAGGCGGATAACCTACTTGAAGCTATTAATATTGAGAGAAGAGATTGTCTTAACAGACCAATCTTGCTACTTGGTCATAGCATCGGGGGCTTGCTGATCAAGCAAGCCCTGATTAACGCCCACAGTAATCGAGGCTACAGTGCCATAAAGGAAGCTACCACTGGCATAGTCTTTTTTGGAACACCGCATGAGATCGTCACTCAGAAACTTGGTGAAATAGGCGCGGCCATTGCCAGAGAACTGGGGCATGAGACCGGAGGTGATCTAGCTGTGTCACTGCAGACTGGCAGCGCCTTTTCCGAGCTCGAATCATGGAAGCATCAGGCGCTTGAGTATTACACTGTCTCCTCTTGGGGGTCAGCCGATACCGTAGGTTACCTAAACCCGATCTCATAGTATATGCTTACATCTTGCAATTTTAGATGGTCTCTCGCAACTCCGTTAACCATGGATTACCTGGCGATATTGCGAAGATTGTTGAATTAGACGCCAACCACAGAGGGATCTGCAAGTTTGGCAACTCCGATAAAGACCGGTACAACTTCAAGATCGTGGTTGAGAATATCAAGCACCTCTGCGAATTAGCGATCGAGAAGACCGAGTCGCAATACGATGGGTACCCAGATACATCCGGTGTTGAGACCCCCAGGACTTCAGGTTATGGCCATGATGAACATGATGACATATTGGAGGAGACTCATCGCGTCGCATTGAGTACGACTAATGATACGGAGTAAGTCTTTATGTCTGATGTTACTACTAAACGATCAGCCAAGTAACATTTATAGGCGGCTGGTCATGACACCCAGCGAAGAGAGCCAACTCCAAGACTATGAAGCAGTTGCTCAAGACTCTGTGAGGATGTCTTTCGACCACTCTGCTGCTAAAGACGTATCGAATCCTCCAGTATCAGACATGCGAGACCCCGGAATTGCAGAAATTGAGGGAATGCTGTCAGAGGCTCAAGACAAGCTGTATTCAAGAATACCCTTCGAGTTGCTCAATCTGTGAGTTACACCCCACGTGTCTCCTTTCACCCCTTCTGACGTCGTGTCCCGGAAGACCAGAGCCTGTGCTAAAAGGCATCCGGTCTCTAAACTATCAAAAGCCTACCAATGTGCAAGAAGCAGTACTTTCTGCCTTAATGCGGCATCCTCCCCGCAATGTAATCGCCAGTTACCCTCCAGGAACCGGCAGAACTACAGCACTAGCAATCGCTCTCCTATCACACACATTCTTTTTTTCAACCACTTTGCCCCAGGTATTGGTAATAGTGCCGACTCTGTTACTGGTGAGCCAGACGGAGAAGTACATCAAAGGGATGGGCAGGTTCTGCGAGGGACTTGTGACGGAGACTATCACTGCATCAAACAAACCAACCCAAAAGGTTGAGGCAAATGTGATCATTGCTACACCTGGCAGTCTTTGGGACTGCATTCGTTGCCGGCTGGTCGACACATCTCTAGTGAGGTTCCTTCTTATGGACGATGTCGATTATCTTGTGGATTTGCAAGGATTAGGTGACAGATGTATTCGAGTCGCCAGAGGGTTGCCGGAAGCCACCCAATTTCTACTGTTTTCGGATCTATCGACGCAAGCCTCAGCATTTATAAATGCGATGCTGCCCTCCAATACTTATGAGAAGCATGAGTTGAAGTCGGCCGAGCTTCATGCCTACAAGATCGTACACCTGTTCTTCAGATGTAGCGGGGACGCTGGGAAGCAGGAAAAGCTTGACATAATTTGCAACCTTCCTGGTGTCGTGGCTATAAGTACATTAATCATATACGTCGAGGTAAGTCATACAGCTCACTTTCTCACGGCCTACAATTGACTCATCACCCTGCAGAGGAGCCCTGATGCGCAGCGTATACATCATGTACTCGCAACTCAAGGCTACGCAGTAGCGAACTTATTCGATGCCGCTGACAGTGTCGAGATGGAAGAGATATTGGACAAGTTCAAGGCTGGGCAGGCCAAAGTTCTTATCACAAAGGACTGCAAGACCCGGGGCCTGGATCTTCCTTCTAGCTCCATGGTCATCAACTACGATATGCCGGATGATGACGGCTGTCGGTATCTTCGGCAGGTCAGTCGCGCAGGCAAAGCCGGTCGCTTGGGCTTTGCAGTGAACTTGATAAGCGACGAGAAGGAGATGGAGGATCTTCAGTCAATCGCGACATCTGGATGCTTCGATCTGCGTGAACTTCCAACGGGCGACTGGGATGCAGTTGAGAATTTCTTGAGAGGCTGTACTAAATCTCAGCGGTTCTAATGATACACAATCTCTGCATTCCGAAGAATTGTTTAAGCCGGATCTTCTATAATTTATGATAGTATTTATCTACAGCTTGTAAATAAATACTTTAATTAGAGTTGATTCTTCAGAGACATGAGTTCACAGCTCTAGCGCGACCCATTTTCACACTGGCCTATCAACGCTGTGACACCAGCAGCCAAGGTCTAAAATTACTGAGCTATTGATTCACCTGTGCATCCGTGATTGGCTGCATCGGAGATTTGCTGCCATTGGAGAACCGCCAAGTGAATGCACAGCCTCACGTGAATCAGGTTTTGCTGACGCGCGAGGCCTCACAAATTCTGCTTATCTGGATTCCCTCTAAAAATCTCGAAGGCCCAGGTCTCTTGGCAATTCTTCACACTCGCTTGCAATTGACTAAACCAATTCTGGAGTTATGGGCGGCTCAGATGAAGAACAGGAGAAGGAGAAAGAGCGCAAGAGGGATATAGTGGGAGACTTTCTGTATGCGTCATTTATTCGTCAGCAGCGCCTCGATCTGCTCCGCGATGCTTCCCGCTAGACCCTAGTCCGACCACTGACGTTTTCTCTTATAGGAAAAAGAACTTGAATAAAGGTGAAATAGCATTGAAGCATGCAGTGGGTCTCGGGAGCCAGCCCAATGTCGTCCCTGTAACTGAACCCGTTGTCGATGGACCACGTCGTCCTGTCGAGGTTGGATGGCATCCTGTCGGCGGATTTGCCGGAAAGTGGTTTGCGGAGGAGACAGGACTGGGAAAGATGATCACGGAGAAGATCAACAAGTATCCTGATCCGACGCAGCATTGGGCTGTTCTCGTTGGTGACTATGCTCATCAACTATGGATGGTGAGTTTGATCATTAGTCGCGCGGAATGAGATGATGCTCATGGAGAACAGGATGAGAACTTTGATGTTATCTATACGAATGCAAAGATTGAGCGAGACGAGTGGCGGACATTCCCGGTTGGAGAGACGCGTTTTAATGATGATGCGTTAAGGCGAGCTGGTGAGTATACACATCCAGCTCCTGGGGGGGATGACTTGCTGATATTGAGAACATAGGCGAATCAGTGATCCAAAGCATCAGGGAGAGACAGCCCACCTACAACCTCATAACCAACAATTGCCAGACGTACGTCCTCCAACTCCTCGACGCCATTAAGGTTGGCGTGAATAAAGAGTTCGGCACTACCCTGGCTGTCTACGAGAGAGTCTTTGGACCTGGCAAGATCAAGGATCTCTTCGAAGCCGAGGAGAAGCCAGAGGATCAGCAACAGCACCAGATTGAGCAGGGAGGAGAGCCTGGAGCCGATGCAGGAACGCAACAACCGATGCATCCGGGCAGATCGGATACAGTCAACCTTGCACAGGATGTCATGAACCAGAATACCAATCAGCTTGATACCGAAAGGGAGATGGAGAGGCATGAGGGTGAGAAGGACGAGAAGGAGAAGAAGAAGAAAGGGTTCTTCTCGCGGTTTAAACGAAGCAATAGTTAGCTTAGTATATGCCCTGCGAGGGTTGGCGTTGTAGATAAGATTTTAATATACCACTTTGAATCCCATTCTACAGTTCCTCCTGTGATATCAACCGGGGCTCGTGTAAAAGTCAAATCGGTGCACGTCAGATTATCTGCTTGTCTTGATATCTACTAACCCTTCCAGATAAACGGCACAAGGCATTCTCGTAGTGGTGGTCCTGGAACTAGGTCGTTATCTGGCATTGCGGCCTGTCAATTAAATATTTACAGTTCATCTAATCACCAATAACTTCAGCTTTACTCTTGTCGGGGCGAGTAACTATAGTGTTTAATGCCTGTCCCGATGTAGGCGGAGGCTAATAAAGCACAGAGGAATAGAGGCTAGGGGAGAAAGAAAAACTTAAGACCTTGACCTTAAGTAATAAGAGTATTTAGATAAATTTAACCTAAACTTAGAGAGCTTTTTATAAAGTTTATTTTAATACCTTATACTTAGGTTTAGTATCTTCTTGCTTCCTAAGGAGAGGGTAACTTGATATTGGGGTAGATTAAATATAAACTGATAAACATCCCTTATAGAGATAAAAGTTAGAGAGGGATCTAATCTTTTATCAGCTCCCATGTTCTACTTCTTCTGAATCAACATCTCCTGGGTAATGCGATCGAGAATCTCCTCATCACTGTACGCCTCCTGGTTCATGTCATTCCACGCCTTGAGGAGCACCGCATCGTCCAGCTCAAAGTACCTGCTGCGCTGAACCACAGCAAGGTTGCCGTCCTGAGACGGGTCAGCCATGAAGTAGGCGACGCACTTAGCTACAGCCTCTGCGGGCTGCACCACAATTCCGAGCTTGTCTGCAAGAGGCCTGACTGGCTTGAGGATAGGGGTCTCGGTCCAAGACGGCGCAATCGTGTTGACTCGGATGCCGAGCTTGTTTGCCTTGAAGGCCGCGTTGATGGCTCGCCCAAAGCCAACGATGCCATGCTTGGATGCGGAATAGTCAATTGCTCTCTCGCGCTGTAGGGCGCTGGTGGAGGCCGTGAAGGTGATGGTGCCGAACTCTGGCTGCCTCTTCATGTAGTGGATGGCGAGAGTGCCCGTATTGACGTTTCCCTTGAAGGTGATGTCGTAGGTTCTGGTGGAAGGCTCAAGCAGATCGCCGTTCTCGTCGACAGCGTCGGAGAAGTAATCAGCGGTGGGGCCGATGCCAGCGTTGGCAAGAACATGGTCAATACGGCCGTACTTCTCGTAGGTCGTCTTGAACAGGTTGACCAGATCCTTCCAGACGCTAATGTCGGTCTTGAGAAAGGTAAAGTCCCCCTTGAGGTCATCTTCAAGAGGAGGCTGAATATCACCGCCGACTACAGAGGCCCCGAGGTCGAGGAGGAGTTTGACGGTAGCGAGACCAATGCCTGATGAACACCCCAGAAGTTGATGTTAGAGGTAAATGAGAGTATATGATAGAAGACGATGTTGCATACCGGTGACGATGACGGACTTGCCCTTGACGGCAGCCATGTCTTCATCCTTGAAAGTGAATTCGGCGGCCATGATTGTAGATGAGTTGGTTGGTTCGGTGTAAGTGTAAGTAGTAGAGTAAGGAGAGTTTAGTGAAGTGCAAGGAATTGTCTGGATTGATTGAGACTTGTTTGAATAAATAAATGCCGAGGAAAACTCATATTTATATATATTTTCTTGTTCATACTCAATATCTACACTTCTAGTACAAAGCATGAGGCTCAAGCTGAAGAGGTGGCCGAACATGGTTAGAGTTTCGGGGCCATCTGCTTAATTCCGTGGACCTGCATATTCCGCATAGCCCTTCCAGTCCGTGACCCCGTGGTAATCCGCAGGGTCCACGCGAGCTTCAATGCGGAGTCGACTCATTCAATCCTCGACCATTAATGTCCCCAAGAAAGATAAGGCTGACATCATACAGCTTCTCAACCCGAGATCAAATAACCACGAGGGATATTTCACGACTTCCATATTAGGTCATATTCTGATGCTCTAAATGCTGCTTTGCTTTGATGACCACGATCGATTGACAGGTTGGCGACTCACAAGAACCGCACCATTACTCTTTCTCGCTTCTGCTGCAACATGAGCTTCTCATAATAGCGCGTATTCTCCCCGCCATGTCTACCGTTAAGAAAACGGGTCTTAGTAGTTACCTCAGTGAAGACGAACTCGAATCAACGGCGGTCTTCGGGGGATATCAGGGCCCTTTGACTCTTTGTGGTTACTTCGTCCCGGAAACTTCACCGTATTCCAGTGATCTTGATAATGCCATCAGGATGACATGAGTATTCCATGTTGGCTCTGCATGAGGCAATTGATCCCGAGGGATGAAGCGCTTTTGCCGATATGAGGGAATCCAGATCATTTCCAAGACCATAGAATTCCATGTCGAAATCGAGTTTCAGGAGAGGGGGCTCGTGGACATTACCTTACCCAAGCTTCTCATAAAGACTTAGCAGCTCTAAGAGAGCTTGGAGATACTCACAATGTTAGCTAATAACCAAATGAGGCTATCACATTGGTAGCCTTCTGCCACCTCCAAAGGTCTTCCAGAAGGAGGCTATTTCAACTCTAGAGGCATATGCTGGTCTTTGATTACAACGCCAAGTGTCGTCTATAGGCGCGTATGTACGTTTCTCTTCTCCCAACAAGGCATTTAACGCATACACACAATATCTGATTCTTGGTCTCCAACTTGCCCATCCCCAATGATCTGATAACGCCTTCTTTTTCGCATCTTACCGCTTGGCTTCGGTACCGAGAAAGCAAGCGATGTCTTGGCAATCAAAGGTCTGGAGTAGAGGCAGTGATGTTTTTGCGGATACGAGGTCACGGGGGATCAGTTTATTGCCGTCGCATCCGCTCTGGCCAATTGAATATTATCCTTTAATGGCGCATGTTGGTTTGAAGCGTGTGCGATTACTGTCAGCTTGAGGCATTTCTCAAGCTGAACCAATTGTCCTGCCCAAAGCGGATAGCTGTTTGCTCGAGTCAGCATGGTTGAGATATCTCCGACGCCTGGCTACAGTAGCTCTCAGACGGTTTCGTCATATGGGCGTATTATTGATATAAAACATCAACATCTATTTGTCAAAGTCAAGGCAATTTACTCATCTTCCCATTTCACAATTTAAAAAAAGTTTGTGCATAAAACAGTCTCTTCCAAAATGAGTCAAACCAGTCTCGTCGAATCGAGTTCTTCCGGAGAAGCTCCTCGTAATGCATTGTCGCTCCGACTGGAGGCACCTCTCTTCTCCCAGACATCCATTTCTCCCACCAAACAGTCTTTCAACATTCAGGGCCGCTATGTATACGAGACAGAAACCAGCCCAGCCACGCCAAGCTTATCACATCTCCAGTCGCAATACCCAAGCCGGTAATCCATGGCAGTTGCAAATCTGCCGCCTTCTACCCAGTGAAGTTCGTCGCCTTGGTGAAGCTACAGGAAACGATGCTTTCATCAGATACGACGATGATCTGACACTCTACTCTGGGGAAAAGATGAACATACCTTTTAGTTTCGCCGCCGGTCTTGGCCCCACGCCGCTCATTGTTATCAGAGGGCAGAAGAGAGGCACTATCCAGGGAAGCATCGTGATGGAGAAATCTGGCCGGTCTTGCAAGTTCTACCACATGATTCCCATCAAGCGCGCCTTGACCAAGGCGGAAGAGGACAAGATGCAGGCTCTTATGCAGAAACGTGGATATCGCGACTCAGATGATTGGAAGAAGAAGCTTCTGTTGACGGTGCAGGAGAACTCGGCCAATGTGACGGAGTGGATAGATGAGTACGGGACGGTTGTTGCGGTTGTGAGAGATGATAAGCTGATGTTTTCGGGCGAGACGCAGACGGAGAAGAAGGATCTCGTTGTTGCGTGCTGGGCCTGCAAGCAATTTGTACTGGAAAAGACTGCATAGACACATAGTCATCGGCCGAACCTTGGAGCGGTAGAGGCATGTGTCTAGCTCAATCCTACGCCGTGATATAAGTCCCTCAGCGATAGGTCCAACTTCAGACAAAAGGTCTAGCTCACAACTTAGGACATGTGAGGTTGGTGCTGTTTGCGTCAACCAGGAGAACTGCCACGAAAGGAAGAAGGAGAAGGACAAGATTGATACTTCATCGAGATATGCCATATTATCATAACCATGCTATTAAACTAAGAGCCTAGTCACTAGACGCTGCCCATATAGATCTTCCCTCTATACCGTCTGTAACCTTATATGCAAAAACCACTCCATCTATGCGCCGATTCTATTTTTACAAACTCCACGATTACCAAGCAAGGTCCTTGGCTATTTTACTACATGAGAGACCAGAGCAGGAAGAGTAGAGACTCTCATCTTGCTCAGTCTTGGTAGCAGACTTGTCAAGAATCTGCTGAGCGGGCCGAATCTCACGACCGGCAACACCCTCGAGCTTGCGGTGGTGCTCGACTAGTTGATACACTTGGTTCTGGAACTGGAGAGGGGTTTGGTCAACTAGGACGCCGGCGCGGAGGTTCTTCTCGGCGGGGGCTTCTTGCTCGCTGGCTGTTTGCTGGAGAATCTCTTCGACTTTCTTGAAGTCGGACTCGCTGGCGTTCTTGTGGCGGTAGACTTCATATTGTAGTTGGGACTTTGTGGCTGATGTAGGGACACATCGCAAGAGGAAGAAGAAATGAGGACTGAGACGGTTAGTCATTGCTCGTTGAAATTTAGTTGGTGGGGAACTTACGAGATGGTCATGGAGGCGTTGGGGAAGAAGAAGTCGTTGACAACAGATTTCTTCTCAGCGGTGTTTTCAAAGTTATCGATGTTGCTACCAGTGCAAGACTTGTCGGCCAATGTCTTCCAGTTGAAGCTGCTAGTGTCTTGCTTGACGTGATCAAACTTGTAGTCGTCAAAGTTGAAAGATCCGTGGTTCGCTGTCTGGCTAAGCTCCTCACTCCATGGGTTCTCAGGCACGGCCTTGGCGTCCATGTTGATCCAGACGAAGCCCTTGGCATCGACGTGAGTGTGAAGAGGGAAGAGGCCGTTCTTGGAGCGATCAAAACCGGGGAGGTCCTGATACAGAGGAGCCTTGGCAAGCTGACCGTTCATACCGTAAGACCAACCGTGATACTTGCAGGACAAGACGTTGTTCTGGCCATTATCCTTGACAACGACGGGAAAAGCACGGTGACGACAGATGTTATGAAAGCCCCTGATGGTACCCTCTGCATTTCGAATGAGGAAGAAGTCAAAGCCAGCTTCAGCGTATCGGACCCAGGCGCCGGTCTGGTCGAAGCGCATCTTGTGAGTGAGCAGGATCCATTTCTTGGAGAAGATGGCTCTTCGCTCAAGTTCGTAGATGTCGTCTGACTTGTACCATGTTGAGGGGTGGGGTTGAGTGATGGGTGCAGCAGCGGGGATGGCTCTTGAGATAAGGTTTTCCTTTGTCGGTCTAGATAGTGTCTTCACGACGAGGGCGATGGCAGCTGCTATGG